TCGTCGACTTTTAAGTTATTATTTAATTTAAAAGAATTTTCTTTAAATAATAAGGTTAAAGAAAAAGAAACGGTAAATTTATCTTTAATCTTTTCGTTTCGACGAAAGATTCGTTAACGTTTTACGTTCTTTAAAACTATAATCTTTTCTTTAAAAGTTCGTTTTTTTTAAGTATTACTAGTCTTTTTTTAAACGTCTTTTTTTCGTCGTTTTTCTTTTTTATTTATTCTTTCGTAATAATATTAATCTTACCGTTTTCTTCTCCTTTTTTACTATTAGTCGGTACTATTATTACTACTTTAATACTTAAAGATTCGGTTAAGTCTTTAATCGTTAATTATAAGTTAAGGTTTTTAAGGATAAAGTCGACGTTTATTTATAAAAGACTTATAAAACCTTACGAACGTAAGTATATAACTCGGTTTAACCTAGTAAAGGGTAGGTTTATTACTTTTTTTTTTAACTATTATAAAAAGGTATTTATAAAAAAAAGAATTAAAATTATTATAAGTAATTATAAAATAAGTCTTTATAATAAATTAGTTAATAAAAAGTATTAGTTTTAAAGACGAAGGTAAGTGTATATTATAATAAAGACTAATTCTTACCCCTTCTTCCCGGTAAAAAGAAGGGAGTCCTTTTATTTAAGGAGAAAGGTTTTTTACTAACGTAGTGTTAACGTGTGGTTAGGGACTAGTTATACCGCGTCTTATTATATAAGCCTAGTCACTTAATTCGTAGTCTTTGGTTACGAATCGGTTATAATATCGTTATAGTATATTAAAAAGTACTACTTTATAAAAGTATATAAACGAACGTTAAGGTTTATTTAATTATTTATAATATTTTAAGTACTTTATCGGTGTATAACGTTAACCTTTAAGTGTTACGTTTATTATACTATAGTTTTAAAATACCGGGTTTAGGTTTTTAAACGTAATAAAAACCTTTTTAATAAAAAGGAAAACCTCCGTTTTTCGTCCCGTAATATAACCTTAAAGAAAAGTCGGTCTTTCGTTTTAACCTAACTTTTTAAAATAATCCCTTCTTTAAGTCTTTAATTTTAACGTCGTAAATTAAACGTCGTAATACCGGTATAAGGGAGGGTTATCGGACCGAGTAACGGACTCGTAATCTCGAAAGTAAAGAAAGTAAAAGTAATTACTTTTTCTTTACTTATTATAAAAGGAGAGAGTCGTCGGTAATAAAATCGTTTATATAACGACGTAAAAAAGAAGACGAACTTTATTAAAATACCTTCTTCTTTATAGTTTTCTTAAAAATTTTTCTAAAAACTAAATCTATTAATATTTTACACGTTATTTAATAATATATATTAATATTTTTAATTTATAAAAAATATTTTTAAAAAAAAGTTATTATTAAACTAAAAAAACGACGTATAATTAAATAAGTCTATATAATTATATAATAATTTACCGTACTTTTCTTTTCCGTTACTTAATTTTTATTAATAATAACCAATATAATAATTAAATCGGTTTTAATTTAATAAAAACCCCCGTACCCTTACTCGTACTTAACGTATACGACGACAGTAACGACAACACCGTAAAGATACACGGTGACCTCGATAACGAGTTACGAACGGAATACACCTTAAATCCATTTTTCGGTCTTTAATTTAAGTAGGATAAGTTACTCGTCGAGAATAAAAGAAACGATACTTTATCTTTATAAATATATTAAAGTAGAGTAAACGTACGACTTAAATAAGGGTAGTTATATAAAAAGACTAGAGTACTATTATTAGACTAGAAGAACGACGTGTAGTTAAATAAGTCTGTATAGTTGTGTGGTAATTTACCGTACTTTTCTTTTCCGTCGTTTAATTTTTATTAATAGTAACCGATACGATAACTAAATCGGTTTTAACTCGGTTAATTCTCTTATAAGGAAATTATAACTATTTTAAGTAGTCACTTATTAAAGTTCGGGATAATATAAGGTTTAATTAAGTAAACTATTTATAACGGATGTGATATTTATACGGACCGGAAACGATAGGTGGAAGGTAAAGTTATCGTCGTATAAGGTCTACCGTTATTTGTTAAGTTAAAAGACGCTCGTCGGTTCGAAAAAGTAATAACAATATAAGACTCAATACAAACGTAATGTCAACGTCGACACGATCGTGGCCCGTCGCGTCAATCTTGTCTTCGGCAGGACACCGATTGTGGGGACGGTCTCTTCCCTAGCTGTCCTTTTGTTTCGTTGCCTTGTTTGGCTTTCCCGTGCGAGTTGCGACCCGTTTGATCTGCCGTCTATCTTTTCATTCGTCCAACGCGCACTTTTAGTGGGCTGGTGATTACTGGATGTTGTGTGTTGTACGTTGTGCTTTTCTACGATGGTTGTAGGCGTAAGAAAACACTCCCTTCCCAAGTTCTATTGAGTCGGGGCGGGATGTCCAGGATTAGCTAAGCACGCGATTAGATAAGCCGCCCCTTTGTCATGTGACTGGGTAAGCTTTTGATCGAAAGTCCGTGCGTAGTAGTAAATAACAAAAGGGAATAGGGGAAGGAAAAGGGAGATAGAAAATTCAAGCAACTTCACATCGAGAAAAGTAGAGGTAGGTTGACAGGAGCTTCGTTCAAAACTCCTATCGCCATTCATCGAGTCCATCCTTCCGCAAGTGAATTCATCCTGCAGAAACAGGTGAGATGTTCTAGTCCCAAACACAGATCTGCTTCGCCATTTCATTGGTTAGGTTTTGTGTTTGTAGGGCAGGCATCCCATTCAGTTTCACTATGTGGACCTCTTTTCAGCCACGCCTAACTAAAATAGGTATGGTGAAATAAAGGCCTAAAAAGATACTTCTAGACATCGGACGCGTCTATTGTTGTTTATGTTCGTTGTCTTCTCTTTTGTCGACGAGAACTCACGCGTAAAGGCCGTGCGAGAAATATAGTAAACGGGAGGTAAATAAAAAAGATATAAAGAAGTAGTGGTTAATAGGAAAAGTAATAAGGAGGTCGACGTGGTAAAAAGAAAAAAGAGAGAAAACAAAGAGTAAGAACGAAAAAAACGAGGACGACAGGCTTAAAAGGTAAACAAACCAGCGTTGGCGAAGTACGGAATACGGCGGCGGCGGCAGCCGTGGCCGACGAAAAGGAAAAGGAACGGGATATTTTGTGTCTCACTCCCTTCCCTCTAGCGGTGCTGAGGTCGTTTTCGGTTGTCTTGAGCCTTGGCCGGAGCTTTGGTGCTGGTCGAAGTCGTCAACTGAGCCTTGAACGGAACCATAGCCTGAGCCTCGGTCGTGACGGATGCAGGTGGACAGGGCAGTTGATGGACAATTCATGGTTCAAATATGAGTCGAGAACGACCTCAGTAGAACTGATGCTTTGGCTTCCGGTTTGGGATCACACGTGACTCTGGGAGAAGCACCTTGGTCACGGCATCGTCACTGTCCCTTGTCTTCTGCAACACAGTGACATCGCACGCAGTCTGGCCATTTCAACATAAGGCCATGATGTTTTCAAGATTGCAAGCCGTGTCAGTTGTCCGTTCAAGAACAGAATTAACAACGGCGTAGTACTGGTTCGCTGTCGCTACTAAAGCACTCGCATGAAAGTGCCACTCTAGGGCATAGGGCACCTTGTGGGGCGTTCCTTCATTGCAGGTCTTGTCCTTCAGTGGGCAAAAGGGACGCTCCAATATAAAACGAGATGCTCGTCTCCGAATGGCAGCGCTTCAACCAGGCACTACCACATGATGTAGGCCATAAGAAAATCCCAAGAAAATATTGACCATAGCCTTCTCCATTTGTGATGTGAGATGCAGTTGCCAATGCATTTGGTTGGAGAATGGTTGGAGAATGGTTGCATGTGAAGATGATTACACCCACGTCTGTTTTCGAGTCGACTGCACAGCACAAAGCCAGCACTGCTGTAGAGTAGCTTCTGGCTTACCATGATCCGTGTGCTTCATCAATGCTTCAATACGTCATAAATACTCTGTACAGCGGAGGGGACGTGGAAGCGCGAGGTCGACAAAATACACATTCGTCTGATATCTCCACAGCCATGGATTCGTGGCATGTACAACATACACGTTTGCTGCCTCGTTGTCTGGCATTCAGAGTTTACTTGTACTGCCCGCGTCTTTGCCGACGATGGAATACGACTAGACAAGATGCGCATCCCGTGAGAGAAACTGGTGGCTCAGTACCTCTCTGGCCGTACTCGCCCTTCTGACCCATCCCTGCCTCCTACGGGTCTGGCTGTCCTCGAGTTTTGATACCCTTTCCCCTTCTCGCCCGTGGTGAGCCCAGCACCCCCGATCATTGACTCCAGGCGATCGACGCTGCGCAGCCACCGACAGATACGACACTCCATCGATCATGTTAATCTTTATTGATCAGGCGCGGCATCGGCGACGCTGTCGTCTCAGCTTCTCGATATGTCACTATTCCCCTCCGCTCTGGGTTCATTAGGATCAGGCCCAGAGCGCAAAATATGTCGAAATAGAATAAGACGAACAACACAGTCCCAATAACTACATTCTCTGCCCGAGCCCGAGTGGCGACGAACAGAGGACCACTTGCATGCAGACTGTTGAGCCACGGCACTTCAGACCTGTTGTCGTGTTAGAGGGCTCTATTTTGCCAGTTGGTCAGGCACGGGCAGCTACAGGGTGCAAACGCTGCAGTGCGCGCCCAATAAAGCTCACGTTTGGGAAGGCGGTGAGTAGCGGCAGTAGGTGGGCTAGCTGGAGGATTAGTGGTCAAGGAGCAGACCAGCGCCACCACAGGCGTCCATCTCGTCAACGCAAGCAGTTGCGATTTCGCAGCAACCAAGTGACCAGCATCCAACTTCCCATCCCAAGCTTTTCCGTACTGCCCACGACCATCCACGACATCACTCTTACACTCTAACCATTTTGCTATCGACGTCCTCACTTCATTCTACCGACTGCACTCTGCATTCACACCCCCGCCACACACACACACCCTCTCTCCCTTACACACACCACACAACATGGCCTCAAGTACCACCAAGGCCGACGACAAGCCGGCCGCCGCGTCGACGACCACGCCCGCCGACGCGAAGCCCGACGCCGCCAAGGCCGTGACGCTCGGCGAGGACGACGAGTTTGAAGACTTTCCCGTCGACGACTGGGCGCCCGAGGAGACGGAGGCGGCAGGCGACGGCACGACGACCAGCAAGCACCTGTGGGAGGAGTCGTGGGACGACGACGACACGAGCGACGACTTTTCGGCGCAGTTGAAGTGAGTAGCGAGTAGCGGCGCCAATAACACGCCCCTCCAGCACAATGGCCTACTAACACACCCAGGGAGGAGATCAAAAAGGTCGAGGCGGGCAAGAGACGGTAGACACGATGTGGCAGAGGATGGACGATGGACGACGATGACAAAGACAATAGCAGACATCAACGGACGACACTCGATGGCCCTGGCAATGCACCGTGGACAGGAGACGAGCATAGCTACGAACAACGACTGGGCATGGAATGGTTACAATACAATGGCGGCTGTGTGCAGCATGGCCTAGAACGCACTGTCGTAGTACAGGTACACAAAAAGAATATATTGCATTCATTCACTAAAGTTCATTCACAGAAGCCCGCTGTCATTTGTGCTTTTGCATGTCGACTATTGCGTGTTTTGAGTAGACCTGACTATCTATGTTTCCAGTCTGCTCCTGAATTCCTATTCCTCAAGACTGTTGTTTGATCGTCATACTTGTGCACATTGTTCCGTCGCCCCCATGTGCACTCTTGCTTAATCCTTGTGCTCTGTACGGTCTGTTCCATTGCCCTTACTCCCTCATAAACTCACTTGTTCCATTGCCCTTTACTCCCTCATAAACTCACTTGGCGCTCAGCGCAGCGACACCCGGCAGTTCTTTGCCCTTCAGCAGCTCCAGGCTGGCACCACCACCCGTCGACACATGGCTGAGCTTGTCCTTGACCTTTGATGCCGCCCTCGCCGTGTCGCCGCCACCAGCAATCACAGTCTTGCCCTGGCCGGCCGCGCGCACGGCCGCGGCCAACATGGCCTTGGTGCCGTCGGCAAACCTGGGCCACTCAAAGACGCCAGGGGGCCCATTCCACAGAATGGTCTGGGCCTTGTCAATGGTGTCCGCAAACAGCTTGGACGAGGCGGGGCCGCAGTCCAGGCCCATCCAGCCGTCGGGGATGCCCTCGGCGTCGGTGGCGCTTCCCGTTTTGGCCTCTTTGTCAAACTTGTCGGCCGTCACGTAGTCGACGGGGAAAACAACCTTGACGTTGTTCGTCTTGGCCTTGTCCATGAGCTCTTGCACCGTCTTGGCGGCTTCCTCGTCAAACAGCGAGTCGCCAATGGCGACGTTGTCGAGCACCTTCTTGAACGTAAAGGCCATGCCGCCGCAGATAATGAGCGTGTTGACCTTGTCGAGCAGATTGTTGATGGCCTTGATTTTGTCCGAGACCTTGGCACCGCCCAGGATGGCGAGGAAGGACCGCTTGGGGTTCTCGAGCGCCTGCGCAAAGTAGTTGAGCTCCTTCTTCATGAGGAAGCCCGCCGCCTTCTGGGGCAGGTCGATGCCAACCATGGACGAGTGGGCGCGGTGGGCCGTGCCAAACGCGTCGTTGATGTACACGTCGCCGAGCTTGGTGAGGCCCGCGCGGAACTCGGCCACCTTGGCCTCGTCGGCCTTGAATGTGACCTTCGTGCCGTCGGCCTGTTTAACTTCAACCTCGACCTCCTCCTCAAGGTGGAAGCGCAGGTTTTCGAGCAGAATGACGGCGCCATCCGCAGCGTCGGCCACAATCTTCTCGACCTCGGGGCCCACCGAGTCGGGGGCGAAGGTGACCTTGGTGCCGCCCAGCAGCTTCTCGAGCTCGGGGACCACTGGCTCCAGGCTTAACTCGGCGTCGGGGCGGCCATCCGGACGTCCCAGATGGGACATCAGGATGACCGCCTTGGCCCCTTGCTCGAGGGCGTACTTGATGGTGGGAACAGCGCCCCCGATGCGCCGCGTGTCCGCGACCTTCTTGCCTTTGAGCGGTACGTTGAAGTCGACGCGAATTAAAACCCGCTTGCCCTTGAGCTCGACGTCCTCGATTGAAAGCTTTCCAGACAACGACATTCTGTGCTGTGGTAAGTTTCTTGCCTTTCATTCAAGAATGACAGATGGAATGGTAGAACGGCAAAAGGTGGGATGATGGGATAGGACTGGACAGCGGGCAAGGGAAAAACATAAGCAAAATGGGATGAAGTTTGAAACTTACCTGTTCTCGATTCTTGCAGCAGAAGCAAACGTCGGATAGTCGGGATATGTGTTGAAAACCTGGTTCGTTGTGGGTTGATATATGGGCAATTCAAATAGTAAATCGAGACGATCTGGCTGAAGCGTTCTGATATGGAGGATGATAAAACGCGCAATATCCCTCCCTACTGTTCTCTAAAGTAGCACGCTCAAAAAGATCGCCAGCGCAGCTTTGATGTATGAAGGGGGGAGGTACCGCCCAATGGCTGCGTATATATCGCCGTTAGTCGGAGAAGGCATTGTAAAATGAAGAAAAGTGATGATGATGAGATCGCGTAAGGAAATGGGGGTGGGCTGAAGAGGAGAAAAGGACGAAAAAAAAGGAAAAATTTTCAGACGGGGATTTGTTTTTGGCCTATTGTGTTTTATCCCCTGTGTGCCTTGGCGGGGTAACAGGCTGCTGCCTAGAATCAAAACAAAACAAAAACGGAACCACAAACGGCAGGAACCAGTCAGCGCGCTACTTTGCTCGCTGAAATTGGAAAATGAGTATTTTCGTACCTTCCTGCTCATTCCAGATTGATTTGTTATGCGCCTTTTCTTAGGAAGAGGTGACCTACGGGCATTATTCAGTGAGCTTAGAAGCTTCACTTCATCTTGGATAACGTTTTGGTACAATCGATACTGAAATGGGACAACAATAACGAGGTGCACAACCGAAAATCGAGAAGTCGAAAGTGGTCGAAGCGTGCGTTGGTTTGGGGACCTCAGGCACACTAGGCATCTAAACAAACTAGCGTCAACAGACTAGTGTCGTTGGGGACTCGCTGAGTAAAGAAAAAGAGAAAGAGCGACTCCACTCTTGTCGCAGTCGATTTGAGGACAACGTACATTCGTATTGCAGGAGGGGGGCACGCAACTTTCCTTGCCTGGCGAAACCCTAAGCTACCACTGATGGGTCTGAGAGGACCGAGAAGTGGGTCTAAGGATCCAAACAATTCCCTCTCCCCCCAGCCATGTTCCCAAAAACCTTTGGCTTAAAAAGCATTACCAGCTAACTGTCTGTCTCGTCATAATTTGGTGGCATTTTAGTGGAGGTTTGTCGCGACGTAGGGCAATTTGTAGTCTGGTTAGTTTTGTGCAAGCGGCAATTGAGAGCGTGACGAAATGCCGTGCTTTAAGGCTTCGACTTTTAAATTTTAAGGTTGGCCAGCAACGGAGATGGTCAATGGAAACCAAACGATACATTTAAGAAACAATTACAACAAGAGGTTGGAGTGTGTACAAAGGTTAGTTCAGTAAAAGGTACTTGTGAAGGTGGGATATTATTTTGTAAATGGTGATAATTTTAGGCGAGGTTTAATTTTTTTGGAATGATTAAAGGCTGTTAAAGAATAGTAAAAGAAATATAATACTTGTATAAAGTAAATAAGGAATATATTAAGGGAACATATTAGAAATAGTACTACATATCGTTAAAGATGATCGTTCGTGAAAAGACGATATCCCGAAGTGCGTTGATTATTTAAGTGGTTGATACCATTTAGTAAAGCCTGCCCGAACCTTCAACTCCTTTTGTAAACTATTCCGTGTAAGACAAGCTGAATGTATGGATGACACAATTAAAATACCTCTCACACTTTCCCGACTATCATATTTTAGACCACTTTCTTCCCTCTATAAAAGAGACATGTTATTATCATACAAGACGCCGTAACAAAGGTTATCCTCCAGGTCTACAATCGTTGACTCGTAATTAAACTCTGTCGCACCGAGTCGGGTAGCCGGGCCGGGATATCGTCGTTGTCGGATGTCGAGTCCGAATTGTTGGCGTTATCGTCATCGTTGTCCACGGGTCGCGGCAGCGGCTGCGCGCGGGGCGTCTCGATCATGTGATATGCCGGCGTAGGTGTTTTTCGTTTGCGCTCCGATGCGTCAAACGAGCCCCGTGAGCCCGTGCCATGCTGCGAGCCCGTGCCATCGTCGGTGCGCATGCGCTTTACGGAATCGTAACTGGTACCGTTGGCTTGCGACGAGGTGGACGCGGCTGCCATACGACCTACCGGTGGTCGGCGAGCTGTCTTTGGCGCCACGCAGCAGGCCCATGCGGATTTAGATATGGTGAATATTAAATACATTTTATTTGAGAAATATACGGACTAGTTAAGTGAGACTTTGGTTCAGAAGCCAGTGTGCCTATAATAGATAAGACTGGGAAGTTAGAGAAGGAGGAGGAATAGAATAACAAGTAAATGGGAGGCAAGGTTTAAACATTTGATTAAATATTTTATTTATAATAAGTAAACCCTCCACCGATAAAAGGACTATCCTCTAGAATAGTGAAACGGTGTAGGATGTCTGCCCTGCCAACTCAACTCTCACCAATGAACTGGCGAAGCAGATCTGTGACCAAGACTAGAACTCCCCACCTGTTTCTGCAGGATGAATTCACTTGCTGATGGAAGGACTCCGATGACCGTCGGTAAGAGCTCCCGAAGGGAAGCTCCTGTCAACCTACCTTTTCTTTTCTCGATGCCCCAGTCTTACGTGCTATATCTTAATGTTTGCCAAAATCCGGCGTCGTGTCGTAACAGTTCTTATAGTATAATGATTATTTGGAATAGTAGGAATATGTTGGAGACAACATGAGATATTGGATGGATGAACAGATAAGATAACAGTATCACGGTACGACAAAATCTTCGTTTCAGTTTTCTAGAATATAGTAGTCCTCAGGTGTGGAACCAGAAACAATGGGTATAAGAAAGTTCGTATTAAAATATACGTCTATTAGTCACGGTAATATACTACAGTAATTGATCAGGATTCAATCCACCGTAACTTGAGACATCTGAAACCTTGCATCAAAATACTTGGCTTGGATGTCAATACGAAAGTGGTTTGTTGGAATGTTGGTGGCTTTTAGAGCAGATCATACCAGGCGTCGGGAAATTCAGAGCGCAAATCCTTCAACAAAATATTAAACCCCATCGGGAACACGGGAAAAAAATCCATGTTCGCGTATTTTCCCACCTTCTTGTTATCTTTCCTAACGGCGTCAAAATTTTGTTTTTAAAAAAAAGTTTACATTACTTTTTAGATTTAATGCAATTCCAAATTTAACCGCAATGGCTTCATTAACTAACTCAGTTTCCTACCTATGTCCATTCGGAAATGGAGTGGAGGACAACGGTGTCCGTGGTTGTCGTAACAATAGGTAATGTCTGTTTTAATTTAACGGACATGTACAGCAAACGTGAATGAGTACGGGGTCGTGTTTTGGTGGGAAAATAGAAATCACTGGCCACCCCCTTGAAATTGTGATTTTAAGGAGAAATTTCAGTAAAAGGTGTTGTTTAGTGGAAACTTAAAGATTTACATAGGAAGAGGGCGAGACTAGAAGACAACTTGTTGAGAGAAGGAGACAGTAAAAGTGACCTATCGTGACGGAAAATAGTGGACGGGAAAAAGGTCAGAAATATGTATAAGGAATAAATATAGGAATAGGTGTGGAATAACGGAAGAATCTTGAGTCTCAAGTTGTGGATAATAGAAAGGGTATGGGATGTAACTTAAAATGGGTAGACGATAGGTTACGAAGAGAAGTAGATAATGAAAGTGATTTGTCGTGACGGATAATGACAGCCGGAAAGTAGTCGAGATATAAGGAATTGATGCGGGAATAGATGTGGAATTCAGAAAAATCTTGCGTCTTGACGCTGTGGACAACAAAAGGGTACGTGGATGTAGCTCAGAACGAGCAGAGAACAGTGGTGGGATATTTTGAATTTGGTTGCTTGGCAGAGTGGAAAGTGTATTGAAAACTCCATCCACCCACTGTTATCGACATGGGGAGAATCACCCGAAAAAAAGAAGGCACGAGGTATGCCCCAAACGTGTGATGCAAGCGTATTTTAGAAGACTCTTTTTTCGATATCCCTGTCAGCGTAGTCAAAGTCACTCCGACTTGGTGCATCCCAACTCCAAAACGCCAGCCATAACCGATTGCTACCGAGAACGGACGAGTTCGTGTAAATGAAAAAAGAAACAAATAAAAAGAAAGACGGTATGAAACCCCGAACCCAAACCAGCCTACAGTAAATCAAGAAGATGGAAGGACTATGACAGTAACGAGGACAATGAGGACGACGATATATCAACATCGTCACATAACAAAACGTTCACAACCTGCCCTTCCCCTCACTCCAACCGAATCCTCGGCGCGTCCGGCACGTGTGCCTTGACCTGCTGGACATCCTCGGCGGCGTTGGTCAGCGACAGGTAGGCGGTCCAGGCAATGCCGACGGTGGACACAAAGGGCAGCTGGAACTGCACGGGCATGAGGCGGAAGTTGATGAGCTGGACGGCGGGCCAGACCATAAAGTTGGCCTTGAGCGTGGGCACAAACATGTCGCGCAGCTTGATCTGGACAGAGTGCCGGCCGCCGCCTTCGGTGACGGTCATGACGGTGAAGAACCAGGCAATGCCCACGGGCGCAAAGACGAGCTGGTCCATGGCGACGCGCTTGAGGGTGGCCCCCAGGGCCGACGCGGTCTTGGTGATGGGAAACGTGCGGGACAGGAACTGGAACCACTTGAACTGGATCGGGGCCATGCCGAAGCCGTAGGCCATGAAACGCGTGAGGCGCTCAAAGTCAAAGGGCGGGGGCAGCATCTTGGAGGCGGGGACGAGGCTGTTGTTGCTGCCAATGGTGTTGTCGGGGGAGCTGTTGCGGCTGGAGTGGGCCGACGACGCCGCCGACGACACCGAGCCAATGCCGTTGCCGGTCGAGTTGGGGGTGCGGCCGCCGGCGAGCTCGTGAATCTCGACGACGACCGAGTCGTCTTTGCTGGCGTCGTCCCGGTCACGGTACGACGGGTAGCGTCCCAAGGCCACGTCATCGTCGTCCTTGGCGGCGTAGCCCTTGCGCAGCTGCCGCTGTTTCATCGACGTAATGGTCTGGGCGACGGTGTCGGCGATGCCGCCCAGGACAGCGTTGGTGACCATCATGGTCAAGACGGGGCGCTCTTCGTAGTAGGCATTGAAGCGAGCGGTGAGGCGGGCGGCGAGGGCCATTTCGATGAGGAAAATGATGGAATGGAGCAGTGGCTGGACTGTTAGCGGGAAAGGGGGGATCACAAAGAAGAACCACAAACAAGAACCACAAAAAGAATGGAAACAACACGAGCAAAAGTGGAAAACGTACAATCTGTCCGTAGATAAACTTGCTGTTGGCCGCCCGGGCGATGCGGCGTGAGAGGAGATCCCACGACATCTTGCTGTAAGAATGCGTGGGAAGGGGAGAGGGGAGCGTGACGTTGATATCGAAAATCCGATGCAGTCGACAAGGAACTGTCGAAATAGTGAAAGGGCAAGGAGCAGCTCGGTCGATGACGACACGCAATGCAGACGTAGCGCCCGGCACTCGTCCTCACTCGTCCTATCGCGGGTTAGTTCGGCGTATTTTTAGTGGCGGATTTGGTATCGCCCAGGCAGTTCCACAGGTCCACAGTGACTGGCGGCACGCGACACAGGGATGAGCGACAAATAGGGCTGGACAGCGTGGAGAGGAGTCGATTTGCGTTTATGTGGTAGCGATGAACGAGAGATGGAATTGATGGAATGAATCAACGGAAGACCAGGACGAGGAGGAAAGATGCAGAATACGAGATGCACGGGACGAGGATAAAGATCAAACCACATCGCCCCTTCCCTTTGTGTGCACTCCGCCCTTCTCCTTCCTCGTTTCGTCGCTCCTCCCTGTGCCCGCAGATCTCCTCAGTTCCCCTCACAATCCACTAAAGCCTCTAATCAACCGTATCTTACAGTGCGGTGGACACTATATCGCTTCTTTTGGAGACGCTCTTTTGTTAGCCCACCAAAAGGGAAGGACACAAAACCGCGCAACGAGTCAGCCAGCCAGCATACGGAGTCCAGTTCCGTATTCTCCGTGCACCAACCGTTTCCTAAGCTGGCCCGAGCCTGCGTGGCGGGACTCTTCCTCTGATGTGCCTGCGTTAGCACCCTAGCGCTTGTAAGCGAGCGCCTCAGCGGCCTCAGTGGCCTCGTGGACAGGCAAAGCCGCCAGAAAAGAAGAAAAGAATAGGGCAAGGGCGACAGGCGAAGACAGAGAGCGAGGCCTGTTGTGGCATAATACGGCGAGGCAGCAGCGGAGGACATGTCAGAAATCCTCGACGGATATGGCAAGCACGACAACGAAAGTTTCCAGTTTTGGCGTCCTGAAAGACTGAGGAAGCTGCATGACATAGAGTAAGAAGGAGCGATTGAAAAGCCTAGCGCCCTGAGGGAGATCGGATTTAGCACTCTATCGCTGCCCCTTCCTCCGGCCATACGACAGGAACGGATGGCGCTCAGCCCCAGCGTTCAGCTCCAGCGCCTGCAGGGCAGACCTGCTTACTGTCCTGCAAAAGCGGCAGTGGCCATTGGAACGTTCATTGGCTCTAGCCTCTTGGGGTTTCTTACTCCCCTTTCCCTTTCCCCTTCTTTTCCGTCATCCGTCTTGTCCGTCTTCTTTTGTTTCTGCATCCTTTGTTTCGTTTCTTTCTTTTCCCTTTCCTTTCCTTTCTTAGTTATTTTGTATTGGTTACTGAACATCTTCTTCTCGTCGTCGTCTCGTTCTTGACGTCTCCAGCCTTGTGTTGGCGGCTGGTTCTTTTCGTTCTTTTCCTTCGCTTTTGTATTCTTTTTTCTTTTCTCCTCTTCCTTTTTTCCTCTTCTTTCTCCAACGGCTTGAGACGATCTTGACCACACGCAGCTTTTGCCCCTGCATCTCTCGTTGGTCGCATTGGCCAATCCCGCCAACCGCTCACACCAACCAGTGATAATCACCCACAACGGTCTATTTCGTCCCATAAGTCCCATATAACCACAATCGCCTCTCATGTGCGACTGTCTCACATAGAACCACCCTTACCACCTTACCACCTCGGCACCCTCCCCCACCATGTCGTCACTCAGGACATGGTTCCGGGGCAGCTCGGCGCCGGCGTCTAACAAGGCGGCCAGCCGCGAGGCCAGCCCGGCTGTCTCGGCATCGACGTCTTCCACGGCCATTTCTGCTGCTGCTGCTTCATCTTCTTCTCAAGACGAACCCACGTCTTCCGTATCCCCTGCCGTCGCACGCGAGCTGTCCGACCTGCAGGACGCCATGGCCTCGACGGCCCTGCTGCTCAACGACGACATGGAAGGCGCCGAGACCCGCCTGCGCGCCCGCAAGGACAGCTCTGTTTTCCACCTGATGGGCCTGGGCGTGTCGACGTTTATGCGGTCCGTTCTCGGCTTCGAAAAGGAGTTTATGAACGAGGCCAACGCCCGTCTGCTGGAGTGCGAGTCGCGCGCCTGGGATGAGATGAAGAAGGCCCAGTCGGCCGCCAGCGGTGGAGGCGGTGGTGGTGGGGGGTGGCTTGGAGGCCGGGCCACAACAACGACAACGGCGGCAGCCCCGACGTCAGGTACCCAAATCTATCCTCCTGGCAGCGAGTACGCCCTGGTGCACGCCGAGTCACAAATCATGCTGGCCGTCGTCGCCGAGCTGCACGAGAGCCTGACAGAAGCCATCCGCGGGTTCTACAAGCTGCGCAAGGCCTTTGTATCGCTCAGCGGCATAATCGCGTCGGAGGAGGCTTACCTGCGGGGCGAGACACCTGTGCACGCCCACGGTACTGGCGAGAGACGCTTGTCGTACACAGAGGACCCCATGCCGGGCGCGTTTGACGACAGCGAGTTTGCCGACCTAGAGGCCGAGGCTGCTGCCGAGGTGGAAGCGGAAGCGCAGCGGCCGACTCTAAAGGCCGGCGGTGCCAATGGTGCCAATGGTGATGCTGAAAAGCAGGAGGCGGTGCCTGCCCCGGCGACACCCACAAAAGCAACCACATCTCCCCTCTCCGAAAAGACAGCGGCACTTTCGCTCAACGGCGGCGCGCCACGGGCTAGCAGCCAGACATCGCGCAGCCTGGCTTCGACGCCAACAGCCGCGGTGCCGTCTGCTACGTCTTCCGCTGCTGCCGCGATGCGTGCCCGCAGGCGCCACCTCGACACCCTCACCAACCCCGTCGATATTTTCGTGCACTCGGGCGTCAACCTGTGCTTCGGTCTGCTGTTGTTGCTCATCTCCATGGTGCCGCCCGCCTTCTCGCGCCTGCTGTCCATCGTCGGCTTCAAGGGCGACCGCGAGCGCGGCGTGCGCATGCTGTGGCAGAGCACCAAGTTTGCCAATATCTACGGCGGCCTGGCGGGCCTCGTGCTGCTCGCGTACTACAACGGCCTGATGGCCAACGCCGACATCCTGCCCACCGACGACGACATTGCTTCATCCAAGTCGGGTTCTACCGCGAGTCACGAAGACGCCGACGACGAGATCGTCGGCTACCCCAGGGAGCGCTGCCGCAGGCTTCTGGCGCACATGCGCACGCTGTACCCGGACAGCCTGCTGTGGGTTTTGGAAGAGGCCCGGCTGCTGTCGACGGAGCGCAAGATCAAGGAGGCCATGGCCGTCCTGCAGAGCGGTGGTGGTGCGACTTCGGACGGCAAGCCGCGCGTGGCCAAGATGCGCCAAATCACGGCCCTCACCAAGTTTGAGCTGGCCATTGACTCCATGTGCGCCATGGAGTGGGACACGATGCGGGAGGCCTTTTTGGCCTGCGTTGAGCTCAACACCTGGTCGCCCGCGCTCTACTACTACAACATCGGCTGTGCCGAGCTGGAGCTGTATCGCACCGCCTTTCACCGCGCCAAGGCTCTGGCGGCCGAGGGCGAAGCACAATCGCAGGAAGCCGACATCGCCGCCACCGAAGCGGCAAAGTACAAGAAGGCCGCCGAGGCGCACCTGCGCAAGGCGCCCACGATGGCCGGCAAGAAAAAGTTCATGGCCCGCCAGATGCCCTTTGACGTCTTTGTGATCCGCAAGGTGGCGCGCTGGGAGGACCGCGCCAAGCTGCACAAGGTTGACCTGGCCGACGCCGTCGGCGTCAGTCCCGCGCTCGAAATGGCCTACCTGTGGGGCAGCGCCAAGCGGCTGCCGGCCGACCTGCTGGAGCTGGCCCTGACAAAATACCTGCCGTGGACACGTTGCACGGCCGATGCGGCCGTTGTCCAGACCTTCCAGGCGGCGCCGGACGAGAGCGGCATCGGCAGTTTATGTCGAGCGGCGCTGCTGCGGGCGCTGAACCAAGGAGAGGCGGCCATGAAGGTGTTGGAAGAGGAGTTGTTTGTCCATGACAGGTGAGTCCGCCCCGAGCATGCCGATAGGCGTGCCATAAGCCTGACGTTTGCATTTGTGTCCTCAATTTGTGTCCTCACCCTATCCTCAGGTTACTAACAAAGACAGGTCCGCCTTCAAAGGCCCGCTCAAAGACGACTACGTTCAGGCGGCCGGCCACTACGAAGCCGCCGTCATCCTCTACATGCAAGCCAACGATCCAGCTATGTTTCCAAGCGGGGACGACGCCGCCGCCGTCGACACGTACCGCCGCTCGCGCGTCAACGAGAGTCTGGCTGAACTCGACAAGGTGGCCAAGTGGGAGACGTTTGTGCTGGACGCGCGCATTGGCATGAAGCTGCAGACGGGCATTGGCACGATCAAGTGGCTCAAGGAGAAGAAGGGGTGGGCCTAGGCCGGTCTGGTCGAACAGAAAAGAGCAACAATCGGGCGATAGACTTTGTACATACACACTTGCATTGCGGTGTTCTCTCGGATGGCATTGTGCTTTTCTGTGCTATGTTTTTGGTCTCCTCACATCTTTGGTCTTGGTGCATATTTTTTTGGTTACAGGGTCACGTTTGAACACCGTTTGGCTCTCTTTGGTTACTCGGGTCTTGCATAGACGATTTCCTTTTGGGACAATTCAATTTTAGAGCACAGCGCGTCCAACACAATGTCCACCACAAAAACCAAAGCTTCTGATATCCAGTCCACCGCCCCCATCTTACACTCGCTTCCGCGACCGTCGGCCATGTCCGTTCCGTTTCTTTGCCGCCACAGGCGCTTCGACTTGTTCCTCCTCCTCCTCGTCATAGTCGTCGTCGTCGCCGTTGTCGTCGTCGTCGTCATGCGGTCGCACCACATCCGCCACCGCCAGCGCCTTGCGCTTCTCGCCAGCGACCACCTGCGACACCGTCGCCGCCGCGTCTTGCACCGCACCGAGTCCCGGGACGACCACCGCGCCAGCCTGCGCGTCCGCCACAAGACTGCCACTGCGCGGCCAGCTCGTGCCCTGTGCCCAGTCCAGCAGGCCCCAGGCGCCAAAGTTGACGCCCTCGGGGTGGTCCGTCTTCTTTTTTCCTTTGCCTTTGTTGCCTTGGTGTCCGCCCTCGGCCGGGGCGGTCGTGTAGTGGATGGCCGTCCGCCGCGCAATGCCGCGCAGCAACAGGCCCGGCACCACGCGGTAGCCGCTCATGCCCAGCGTCTCTTCGAGCGTGACCAGCCCGACAAACACGAGAAACACCAGCAGGTGCGGCCGCACGAGCAGCGCCGCGCCGTACAGCGGCGTCCACCGCAGCAGCAGAACCGAGGCCGGGTGGTCGGCAAACACCAGCAGGCTAAAGGGCGCCTGGCGGCGGGTGTGGGCGTAGCTGCCGAGGTGCCAGCGGCTGAGGCGGCGGACGAGGGCCCAACGCGCGTCGGGGCGCGACAGCAGGAAGCGGTGCGCCGCGTAGACGAGCGCTTCGCGCAGCAAAAAGAGGACGACGGTTTGCTTGAGAATCTGCCAGGGCAGGGGCAGTTTGGAGGCGGCGTTGAACAGGGGCGGCAGGGCGGGGGCGGCGCGCGTGGTGCGCGAAAAGGCGGGGAAGTAGGATGACGAGAGGGACGACAGGGACGAGAGGGACGAGAGGGACGACGAGAAAAAGGACGCCTTGGGTTTCGGGACAAGGAGCCGGTGCACCAGGCGGTACGTCGCCGCGACGCCCGTGGTCAGCAGTGCCCAGACGCCCGACAGCGCCGGCAGCAGCGCCAGCTGCAGGCCGGCCTGGAGGAGCACCTCGACCGCGACATTGAAGACGCCGAGCAGGACGAGCCGCGCCAGCAGGCTGCGGTGCGCGTCGCCGCGCGGCGGCAGAGACGCGGCGCCGCCAATCTTGACGTTGGCCGCGAGCGAGGGCAGGCTGGTGTCAAAGGCCAGAAACGCAAGAGATGGTATGAGCCACAAGAGGACGCGTATGCTCAGCACGCCCACAAGCTCAATGTGCAGGGGCGCATAGGACAGGACCAGTGTGGTCCAGGTCAGGTAGAAGAAGAGGACGTTGATGGACGTGGACCACGACGTGGCGGCGCCCGGTCCGAGCAGGTAGGACACGATGGGGAGGGAGAGAAGGACATCCATTGCGGTGGTGGGGAATGAGGAGCTCGGAATCAATGAGCGCAGGTGAGCGCAAGTGGGCGCAAGTGAACGCGACAGATGGTCGTGGAGCGTCGATGCGATCAAAGTTGCAATGTGATTTGGGTTGGGTTTGCGACCAGAAAAGTGGCAAAACGGCAACGAAAGAATCAAACAAATACCCCCGTCTGTTTGTCTCTCTTGCTCCGTATTTCCCCAAATGATGGACAGGCACTCTCGCGAGGCCGTTGGATCGCTTTGTTCGCAGTTCACTAGCGTGTCTCTGTGTCTCTGTCTCGCGTGTGTTTTTGAGTGTTTTTCAGTTGACACCACCTTAGCCTCACGGCGCTTTGCGTCAGTTTTGTCGGTGACGTCGTCGTCAGAATTGTTGGCCAGGCCCAAAGTTGGACAGGGGAGGGTGTGGCACATCCCTGCTAGCCTATTGACACGAACCCGACCTGCACTGCACGGACGTCATCGCTTGGTCGAAGAAACAATGGCCAATAGGTGATGATTGTTGTGATATGCGGATGGTATGCACAATTTACTTCGAGCCTAATCAGAGCGTGACCGCCGCACCTCAGCTCCTAAATATACTCATATCCTTTTCTGCCTCTTAAAACCCCTTTCTCTAGATCTTGACGCACAGGGGCAGTTTGGCCCGTGAGTTGCGCGGCGGTGATCTTGGTGGCCACCTTGAAACTGTCCTCACATTCCCTCTCCCCGTGCTCTTGCTGTGGAGTTCGTCGACCCAGCGGTCGGTATACATGGTAGATCGTAACGGTGAGCTTGTCGACCATCACGGTAATGCGTGCCAGCGTCTCCAGAGACCGCAAAACAGCCTTGGGACAGTTGCAAGACACAATCCTGGTGAAAGGCCTCGAGACTGTCGACATTGTTTCCACGCGATGCAGGTCACGTGGACTTGTCACCCCTAACCACGTGACTCAGATGCAACTTCCTTCACAGCCAACAACGTTCATTGTGCATTTGCATCTTGACGAGCATCGCTCTTTTCCGTTGTACTATTCTTTCGTTGGGTGATTCAGCCAGCAGCTTCTCAGCCCCCAATTCCCGAGACGATGTGGACGAGTCGAAGCCACACGAACGCAGACATGTAAGTGCAGCTGTGAGAAAAGGCAAGCTGGCCAGGCGAGGAACCATTTGTTGACATATGCTTTAGCTAAAGACAAAAGGCCAAAGAACCAAACGTGGACCATGCCGCCGTGACACGACCAGAGCGGGCGTGCAGTACTTTTGTCCTTTACCACGTCCCGTCACATCACAAGAGGAAGGCTGCTGCACCGTCTTGGCACCGGCCTCGTCAAACAACGAGTCGCCAATGGCAACGTTGTCGAGCACCCTTTTGAACGCAAAGGCCATGCCGACGCTGACAATGAGCCTGTTGGCCTTGTCCAACAGATGTGGTGGCGAGTCGTTCCAGGCCGCGGTCGAGTCTGCCATATCCGCTCCGTCAGCCTTGCGCTACTAGGCCGGACTAACAAGGTACGTCTCTGCGGCTACCAGTCGACTGTTCCACAGTCAGCGGCTCGCACCGTTAGTCAAGACCCTGAGCATGGGGTCTCCCAATACAATGTATGTATATGTATTTTACAGCTGTTTCACACGTTGTTACGGGACAAGGCGACAGTGACGGTACAGTGGCGCAAGGTCGTCAAGTATCAGCATATATCAAAGTACAAGGTGTACAATCAGCATCCGCTTTAGTATCCGACTACTTTGCTTACAGCCGATACTGAGGACGTTGTCTTGGAGATATTTAAGTATGGTCCTCCCAGCCTTTTTCACGTTCGTTGCTTCGTTACATGTCAAGAATTACAATCTCAAACTCCACGCTCGCGCCACGATGAAAGCCGAAATTCTCAATCTTTTCCGTTTATTCAAGTCTAAGCCGTCAAAAGACTCCCCGGAGTTTGGTCTGCTCGGGCGAGAACAAGGCAAGTACCTGTCGAAGACACCCTCCGTCGACAAGTTAGATGCCGCGTCGACCACCTGGCGCCAGCGGAGACGACAGAATGCATGCAATTCAGCGCTCCACCGCCTGCCCAACGAGCTCTTGTTTATGATTTTCCGCGAGTCCGACTTCCTGTCCCAGCAAATGATTCGACAGACGTGCCACCTCTTTGCGGCTCTGATTACAGGCTTGGGTGGCAGTCGTGCCGGACAGAGATTTGATGGCACATACGATGTACGCCAGATCTGGCCACGCCATGGATCTGCAGCCCGCCGCAAGGCGATTCGGCCGGAGTGGGCCGCACTGACCCGCCGGGACAAGGAGGGTCTGTGCACGGATTGTATGGAGTTTGAACTGTCGGGCCAGCTCAACGAGCGTCTCAAGTGGCTCGACCTGTTACTGTGGTGCAGCTCCTGTCAGACGTACCACAAGCGCGGCATGTTTCCGGCCTCCCACCGCCGTAAGATCAAGGCTGAACGGAGTTGCATTGGATGGCAAGGCCGCTGGCGCATCTGCCCGCACCGCAGCCTCTCGTGGGGTCGGCTGGTAAAGGAATGGGCGATGTGTCGGTTGGTAGGCGAATGGGAGACTTGTACGCTATATGGCTGGCGGGGCGCGGAGCTGTCGCTATTTGCGTGCGGCGAGGGGTGCGCCGTTGCAGGAGGCTGTACCAACGGGGACAACCGCGTGCCGAAGATGGACACTGTCAATTATGCCTATCCCGTCGACTGGAGCGAGGAACACGAGCGAGATGGGCCTCGACACTCGGTGGGCACATTGTGGCGCGCCGCTCTCTTTGACGTGGACCCGTCCAAGCCGCTCTCGTTGCGGTCTTTCCAGGAGAAACTCGACGACCTGGGTAACAGAAACAATAAACGCGCCTCGGGGCCGTCTCTCTGCCCACATGTCCGCTTCAACGACGGCAAGCTCCTTCGTCCGCTGCAGGCGCCTCATTGTCTCTGCTTTCCCAGAGACGACAACAGCGACAACAACAGGACCAAAATGGACCGAGGTCCTGGGTATCCCATGCAGCAGCACGCGTACGACTCGGACACGTGCCAGTGGCACTGTGCCTGTCATGGCGCAGGCCAAAACCACGCCTCGCTGACGCGACCGACCAAGCCCGACGGGACGCTCTGGGATGGCTGCGCGCTCCGGGACATCTGGGGTGCTTTTGACTTGGCGAATCAATGGCGCTCTAACCCGAACCACTTACACGAATTCCAGTGCTCGGTGTGTTACGTCCGGTATTCTTGGCTGCGGGATGGAAACACCATGGTCCTGCAACACCTGAGCTGGTGTGGTCCGACGGAGAATCCGAACGGGACGTGGATTCGGAAACTCGACCCGCACTCATGGAACATCACCAAAGACAACAAGACAAAGCACGTCTATTGGTGCCCCGACAGCACCTGCCGGACAAACCACGAATGGCGGGCACTCTACAAGCGTCTCGGGGTGTAGGTAGTGGGTATAGTCTTTTTTTGTTTATTTTGTCTTTAGGTAGTACCGGGGACAAGGCAAGGATAAGGTGGAAACGTTGTCATCGAATAACAAATATAGAAACGGGCTATTCTCAATGGAAATTCATCTCAACTGATTATACATTGTAGTATACAAACGTTCGTATGCTCCATGTTGCACGTGAAGTTGGTCTGGTATGAAGGTAATCAACAGAAACGTACTGTGTACGGGCACGACACGAGGCCGTCCATTTGCATCCACAATTTGTAGCGAACTCGGCTGCCTCGAATAAGATACGACCACAAGGCGTAATGTCAGGCTCCCGTAGAGGAGCCTGCGCGTAAGAAGAACGTCACCCAGTTAACGACGCTGTCTCCCGTGTCGTATCCGTGATCGATCAACTTTATACTTTGTGGACAAGAGGCGCGCCTCTCCATTCCAGAATGTCGTCAAGTTCGCGATAATATCTCCCCGTGTCGTGTCCATGATCGGTGTGACAGTTGTCGGGGCAAGCCCGTTCGATCTTGGAAATTAGTTAGACCTCACGTACGTAGTGTCGTCATAAATCACAACATGGTATCTTACTTACCTGGACATGTCAAGGATGGTGGCAGGTATTGGAATCGATGCGCGTAGAGATGATACTCGCGTAGGTACTTATCGAGTCCTAGCCCAGCCACTTAATGTGTTCTTTGATGCTCTTGGCACGTTCTCTCTATATTGCCAGTGACTTCGAGGTAGCTGTCGACTGTGGTAGTTCCTATACGAGTAGATGGAATAGAACTGGACCGCTAAGCCAACGGGCAAAATAGAGAGCCCTCGAGCACCAAGGCTAGATAACAAGTCTGACATTCCGTAGTCCTCAAACATCAACTGGTACCAAGGCCGCCGAAGGGGTGTCCACCCGGCCGTCCTTACAACGAAGTGCGTACTTGGTGGCTGGTATGGCACCCGCAACGCATCGCAGGTTCGTGACGTTCTTACTTGCGTCAAGGGGAACGGTGAAAGCCACCTGGATTGTCACCCGCTGACACTTCCGGTACGAACAGGTCCTTGTTTGTGGTCTTGTTGGCTCGACATCCTGTTTTGTGTCAGTTTTTATGCTGTGTGTAAAGAACAGGTCAAAACATACTTCGTTGCAAGCCAGCTCACGGCTTTGGCTTTGTGCATTGACGGTAATGGAGAATCTCGAGTGATAGAGGGGAACTCAGGTAACAGTTGGACGTTTTGGGGGCGTCGTCGGCGAAACCCGAGAACTGCGTGGCGGCCCAGGTCGCCCAGCAGGCATTTCAGTGTTTGTTGTCATCGAGATGTCGAAAAGGAAATATGTATTGGGAAGTCCTGGCAGATCAAAAACAGGGTGTAGAGCAATCATATCGTGCGGCTGAAAGATCATATTTGGCCCCGAAAGAGAGTGGCCTTTCTGTAAGACTTGGGACAGACTGGGGATGTGGATGATGTGGGCTGAAGAGAAGAGAAAGAGAAAGAGAAAGAGAGAAAAAGAACGAGACAAAATCTCATCAGGTTTGTTTTGAGCTTCTTTTGGTTTTCTGTTTACGCGGAAGTCGCGGGGTCCATTGGCCGAGAAACTCGAAACCACGCCAACAGCCATCAGAGAATCCAAACTCCCGCAATTGCATGAATATGCTAATACCACAGTATCACAGTATCCGTTGACAAGTTCTCTCGTGCAATTGCCGGGAGTCAAATAGCCGGTTTACCAGTCCCGACACTGCAAAGCAATATATTCTGTAAATGATTGCTCTCTCTCTCGTCTCTGAAATATCCCTGATGTCGAGTCTCCTCGACGAGTGCCGCACTTTATACCGGGGCAAATGAATCAACAATATGTTATTTATATCGTATACAATCAATTAAGGAAGCCGTAGCATGCTGCTTGCCCACCCTAGCCAGCCACATATATATACCCAGCTGTCGACGTCTAGATGTTGCGAGGCGAGATGGATGCCCATCGTTGACAACTTTTATCTCTCGTCCCGAATTGACCATGCTCGGTTCTCTTTTCCTGCTGGCTGCTACAGTCGCGTCTGCTGCTGCTGCCGGCAGCTGCACGCGCGACCAGCTGCAGGCCGTCGCCGACAGCGTCGTCGCCGCCCAGACCGCCGGCAACCCAGCGCTTCTCCAGCCCGCCGCCGCGGCGGATGCCGCGTACACCGAAAACCGCCAGTCGGCCACGTCGCTCGCCGCGGGCATCCTGTCGCACGCCCTCAAGCCCGACCACGTGCGCAGCTCGCTCGACACGACGCAGTGCGCCACGTACACGGAGATGATTGTGGCCACGGGCGCCAAGCCGTACGAGATTGGCGTCCAGGTCTTTCTGGCACCGGGCGACGCCTCGGCCGTCCACCGCGTCGACACCATCTATACGTCGACAGGCGACTGGCTGTTCAACATCACGGGGACGCTGTACTGGGCGAGCCGCGAGACGTGGGCCCCGATCCCGGAAGCGCAGCGGGACACGCGCGCCGTGATCCAGGCGGCGGCCGACGCCTACTGCGACGTCTTTAGCAACAAGAGCACGGTGGTGCCGTGGGGCACGCCGTGCGCGCGGCTCGAGGGCGGGTCGTACACGGGCAAGGGGTCGGCCAGCGACAGCTGCAACGTGGGCATCCCGAGCGGCGTCTCGCTGACGCAGCGGCGGTACGTGATTGACGAGGTGATTGGCGCGGTGGACGTGTTCATGTCGTTTGCCAACCTGCCGGACAGCCACGACTTCCGTGTCGAGGGGGGGAAGCTGCGGTATGTGCACACGATGACGGTGATGACGGGCGGCAAGGGGAAGAGCAGTGGCGGAGGCGGCGGCGGGAAAGGCGGCAAGGGCGCGAAGAGACGGCGCAGTGTGACGGGTGGTGTCAAGCAAGGAGCGGGTTTGTAGATACATGGCGATACATGGAAAGTGACAAAAAATGAGAGGAGTCTTGGTCGAACCCGATGCTGCGCATCGTGTATCCCTAATGACACGCCTTGCCGTACTTGCGCAGACGCATGTAGTTGTACGGCAGCGGCGCCAGAAACCCGGCCACCATCGACACGCCCGCCGCCGCCCAGAACAGCGGCTCGCCAAACGTGTACCCGGCGGCCTGCCCGCCGCTCGTCAGCCAGTAGTCCACGGCATTCTCGGCCAGCTCCATGGTCAGCATGGAAATGAAACTCATGCCGACGGCCGTGCGCGCAGCAAGACCCCAGGACAGACCGTCGCGGCCGAACCGCAGCAACACCGTCTCCAGCAGCACCGACGTCGTCAGCCCGCTCGCCATGGCCAGCCCCATGATCGTCGGCCACATGCCCCAGTCGGCGTGGTGCATCTGCAGGTACCACAGGACGGCAAAGTCGCCCATGGAACAGCCGACGAGGCAGCGCAGGGTGTTGACACCGGCACGGCGCCAGGTGGGCGGGGACTGCCAGAAGGCGAGGGACGCGAGAGAAGGGGTGGGTGGAGGTGTGGTCTTGTGGCAGCACGACGACACAGACGTCGACGATGTTGGTGAAGTCGACGAGGCCGGCAAAGTATGTTTCGCTGACGACCGACAAACCAAGGACAGAGAGAGTGGCCGTCGTTGGTGTGTCTGCACCGGACGGAAGCAGGTCTGGGCGAGGGCCAATGGCCGTGCTCGTGCAAGAATCCGACTGACCATGGCCGCGTCTGAGAGTGTGAGTTGGATGTAAAAAAGAAGAGAGAAGAAGGACAAAACGCTGCAACGTACCGTGAAATCAGCTCTCTGGCAAATTCAATGGGGCGACTTTACGCGAAAACGGCGCATCTCGGGTTTGTTGAAGGTGACTAGCATGGCCCTCCCGCCCTCCTTCGTCGGACGTACGGGTGCTCCTATTAGCTTGTTGCTACGCTGTGTAGGGCTGATTCTGCCTGGTACAATTCGCTTTTAGGGTTGCCGGGGTGGGAGATAGACAAACAATAAAAGTAGTTTTGATCCGAAAAGAGATGAAACGTGATGTTAATATTAAAGCGAAAATATATGTAATAGTTAAAAGTTAATAATAATTCACTTGTACGGTCGTAAGAAAAAAGTAAGACGAAAGTGTAATTAAAATAAAGTAAAACGTGAAAATTTTTACGAATCGTCGGATACGACGAATATAATCGAAATAGTAGTCTTTAATTAGTTTAATTTTATAAAGACTTATAAAAAGTTTACGACGAAAAAGACGAAAAGTAAAATAATTTAAAGATTTAAAAAACCTTTTCTTTTATAATAATAATAACGATAATAATAACGGTACGTATTTAAAACGAATTCGTATATAATATAAACGATACGTATATATTTTACTACGTTTAAAAGTTTTATACGATTTAAACGAATTAAACGATATTAAAATTTTAAAGAAATTTTATTAATAACTTACTTTTCCGGTCCGTTTTAAATACCCGAAATACGATATCGTTAAACCTTATATATATTATAACTTTCGACGTTTTTATTAACGAAGCCCTCCTTTACCCTTTCGTTATAAACGTTAATACGTATATTATAAGTAAAGTAAACGTTACGGACGTTATAAACGTTATAAACGTTAACGGTACGGTTAGTAACGGTCTTATTACGGTTAATAACGGACCCGTTACGGTTAAAGTCGCGTTTATTACGAACGTTTTAAACGTTAACGTAGTTATTATAATTAATAGAACGGTTATTACGGGTTTTAACGGTTTAAATATTTTTTTACCCCGAACCTAGTCTAACGTAACCGGTTTAATAACGGACCGTAACGTTACGGTCCCTTTTACGACCGATCCGACGGTATATTACGGTCGGTTATAATTAAATTTATTTTTTACGGTTTTATTATAAAACTATAACTAACCGTTCCGATTTATTAAATACTAAACTTTAAGTCCGATCCGGTCCGTTTTAAAGAGTGGTTAACTACGGTGGTGGACGATTAGGATATTATAAACCACCGTTTCGTTATAAATACGGTAAAACTATTAATCGAGTGTATAATATATTATAAACTATTATAAGTCTTTACTTTTTTATTAAAAATTATTTTTAATTATATCCGGTTATTATATATTAAAACTTATATTTATAATAAACCGTTTTTTATAATTCGTTAACGTTTCGGGTCGGAACGACGACGTTAACCTTATAATATAGTTTTAATATCGAAATAATATTAATTTAAACGGTAAGTACGTTTATATCGACTTATTACGGTTATTATTTTAAACGGTCCGGACCGTTTATAAAGTACGTAACGTTTATAAACGTTAATAACGGGTCTTACGGAAACTACTATTATAATTCTAATATTAATAAGTGTACGTTTAAAGTTAAAAGTAAGTATAAAATATAAACGAAACGGTTTATTATAATTATAAATTAATATTTTTTTTAAACTTTAAATTACGTTTTACTATAAAACGTGTCGTTACGACCATTCCGGACCCGTTTCGAACGGTTAAAAAGGGAAAATAAGTCGTAACGGTCCGTAACGACGACGACGACGAAAATAACGACGATAATAACGATAACGTTATAGTCGTTACGTTTATAAAACGGGCCGAAATAACCTTTAGTTTAAAGAGTACGGTTAAAACCGTTAAGTTTTTCACTCTTCTTGGAAAGGTTATATAAAATATATAACGAACCGAAACGGTTATTTTTATTTTTTTTCTTTTATTTTTCGAGTTAACTTAGTAAAGTGTTTTATATATTACGGGTTATTACGGTTATTTTTTCGAAATTTTTAAACCGGTCCGATAAGGTGTTTTTAAGTGTTACGGGTCGTTTCGGTTATTTTTTTTTAAAAAAAATATTAATATTTTTAAACGTAAAGATACGAAACGGACCGTAAAGGTCGATAAATTAACGGACTTTTTATAAAAGGTACTTAATATAAGTCGTTACGGGGTAAATAATTTATTTTTATTTTTATTTTTTAATTTTTTAATATATTACGTTATTTTCCGTTTATATTTTAATTCGTAATACTTATAAAATTAACTTTATATTAATACTTTTAAATATATAATATTCTTTGTATAATTTTAGTTACGGTCCGTTAAATATACGATAAACCTTGAAATATCCGTTATACGGGATAGTGTTATATATAACTAATCGTAAGTAAAAATAAACGTCCGTAAATTTATACTAACGGTTTGGAACGACTAGTTTTACGACTTATTAATAATTATAAAAAAATAAAAATAGATTAAAAATTAACGTCGTTTTAATTTATACGGGAGCTCGTCCTTTTTCGAAATAAATATAATTTTAAAAATAAAGGTTTTTTCGTTATAAAACGTTCCGTTAAAGATTATATAACGTAAAAGAAAACGGTTTATAAACGTAATAATTATTCGTATACCGTTATAAAGACCTTTATTTAAATATAAATTCCGTAATAATATAACCGGTATATTAACCTTTAACGTTAACTTACTCGTAAGTATCGAAAAAAGACGTAACGACCGTAATACTTCGAAAGGTGGTTAGTACGAACCGGGTTTTATATCTTTAATTATATTATAAGATCGATATAACCGTTTTATACCCGGAAATATATTTAAGATATTTTAATTCGTATCGTTTATTAAATCGTTCCGTATAATTAAAATATACTTATCTTTAAAAATAGTAATATTTATAACGGTTTATTATAAAATATATAACGAGTAAATACGTTTATATAAGTCTTATATAAAGAAAATACGAGTAATTTCCGGATATAGTTTAACTATTTTATACTTTTCGGAATCGTATAATAAAGATTATAATTAAAGTAAAAAAGATAAGTTCGAGTTATTTTAATTATATAAACGTATATTTTTTATTAAATTTAAAATAATTAACTCGTTTTAAAGTATAAACGACCGTAATACGAAACTTACGATCTTCGAACGTATTCTTTTTTTTTTAACCGGGAGGATTTATATAAAGTCGTTATTAAAAAGGACGGGTAAACCGTTAAATAAACTATTATAATTATAAATATTTTATAACTATTTATTTATAACTTTAAAATAACGATAGTTTTATATAAATACTTCGTTTTAAATAATTAAACTCGTTTTTTAAATTAAACGGACTAATATAATTCTTTTACCGAAGTTATATATAAAGGTACTTTCGATTTTAATTAAGATTTTAAAATACGAGTATAACGTACGACCGTTAAGTAAAAGACGGACCGTAATATTAAACGAAGTAACGTAAAATACGATTTATTTTTTAAAACGGTAATATACGGTTAATAATTAATATAAAAACGTTTTACCGGTATTTATAAGTCTTTATAAAAAAAAACGTATATTCGAAAAGACCGACTCGATACGGTCCGTAATAGTCTTAAAATATAACCTTTAACCGAAGTTTAATTATACCTCGATTATTACTACCGTAACGGTTTACTTTTTATAATTATAACGTTTTTTTATAAATATAAAATACTTTATATTAAGATATTAATTAAGTTAAAGTATAAAAAAACCGAAATTATTTAATAATTTTCCGTACTATTATAATAAACCTTCGAGAAAAAATAACCCGTAATTTAAATAAGGATTATTAAAACTATCCGGAATAACCGACGATAAAAACTAGTCGGTTATAATACGATATAATAAGTTATCGTATAAAAAGGACTAAAACTACGATTATAAAACACTCGGGTTTATAATAAACCCGAATATTAACTTAATTATAAATATAAAATATACGGTCGTTCCGTTCCGAATAGTAGTTACTTCGGTTAACGTATAAATCGTATCGTTATCGTTATTTAATAAATCGAGAGTGTTATAAACGGTGTAAAACGTTTTATATTTAACGTTATCGATTATATAAAAGTATATAAAAAATATTACGTTTAAAACGTTATAAAGTAAAAGTCGTAAAAAATATATCTTACCGTACGTTTTTAAAACGACCCGTATACGGTCGATAATATAAGTGTTATTTCTTTTTAAGTACTACTTTTTACTATAAAAAGTATATTTATTCGGAAAGTTTTAATATAATACGTTTTAAACCTTTTCGTAACGTAAGTTATATTTAAACTATACCGTTAAAGTCGTTCCGGTCTTTTCCGACACTTTTTTTATCCTTTATATCGTCTTCGTTAATATTTTTAATTAAGTCGGTTTAAAAATCACTTATTAATTATTCGAAAAATAAACCGTAAACCGTATAATAGTTAACAACTTTTAATATACCGGGAACTCAAAGATACGTTATACTACCTCGTAAAGATTAATATAACGGTATTTCGTATAAAACCCGATTTTATTAAAACGGTTCGGATTATACGGGTTTCGGGCCTTAAAAACGACCGAGACTATATCCGACCTTTTATAAATATATTTATAAATATATTTTATAATATTTATAAAACCGTATACTTTTATATTAATATACGATTTATACCGTAATAATAAATACGGACTATAAAAAACGATTTATTTATTATTTTTAATTCTTTAATTATTATAAGTCGTTATAGTATAAATCCGTTTATAACGACGATAATAATATAAGTAACCGTTTTTATTAATAGTTATTTCGTTTTAAAATAATTTTAAAAAATCCTTAAAATAGTAAAAACTTTAACTAAACTTTTTCGATAGTTTTATATAAGGTGTAAATATATAATTAAAGTCGTAAAGGTCGTGTATTATATTTCGGGTAATTAATTCGTATAATTCCGGTTTTATTTCAAGGTTTAAAATTTCCGTAAAAATAATATTATTAATATAATACGGATTTAATAACTTATTACGGTTTATAATAAATAAAAACAATAAAAGATATATATACGAAAGACTACGTTTTTAATACTCGATCGTATATATTAAACTACGAAACTCTTTAAAAATCTACTTATTTCGGACTTAATTAAATAGATTTTACGTTTATTTATTAAATACGTATATAATAATATCGGGATAATTATAAATATTTACTCCGGACGGGAGTTAAGTAAATAATTCGGGATTATTCGGGTTATAAATAAATATAATAAAAAACGACGGTCGATTAAATACACGTATAATAATTATAAAGTCTTCGTAATATATTATTATAAAACGGTCGTTACTAATATACGTTACGAGTATAATCGATATACGTTTTAACTTTTTAATTATAATTTTACCCCGTTTTAACTAATTTAACGTAGTACGTAATATATAATAATATTCCGTTAATAGTTTCTTTTAATTCGTTTTAATTTATCGGACCCGTTTTAAATCGATATACGTTTATATATCTATTAAAAATTATTAAAATAAACGGTCGTAAAAGAATAAAATAATATTAAACCGACCTTTACGTTAATATAAGTAATATCGGACTTATTTTATTAACGTTAAACGAGGGTTACTATTATCCGATCCGTTATCGAATATAACACTTTAATAAAAGTCGATCTTTTTACGGAGAAATATTAAAACGTACGTTAAAAGGAAATAAATAACGTAATTAAAGTTAATATAAGTGTAACGGGGTTAATTCGGGTCTTTCGACTTTAAAACGATATCGTAAACGGACTATTTATTATATTCGTATAAGATTAAGACCGTAACCTCGTTTAAAGTAGGTGTATTATAATACCGTTAATCGTTACGTTTATTAATAATTAACCGTATTTAAGGATTTAAAAACGTAACGGTCTAGGGGTTATTTTTACACGTTAATCGTTCTTTTACGTTTTTATAAATAGTCGTAAAATAATTATATTCGATTAAAAACTAATTAATTTTAATTAATTCGTTTATATTTAAACCCCCGTTTAACACTTATTACACGTATTTATTACGGGTTTTAATAATTATACGTACGTTTAAAAAGTAATATTATATAAATTAGTAAGGTTTATTATCGACTAATTATAACGGACTAGTGTTATAATATAACGTACCTTATATTTAATACATTATTAAGACGTTACCGACCGTATTACGTATAATTTAAGTCGTATTAATTAAAGTAAACGAAAATATATAATTATACTTTTAAATATTATTATAAAACCGTTTTACTCGAGTAATATTAACTAAAATAAACGGAAATAGTTAAAAATATAATTAAAAGAAATATAATAAGAATAAAACTTATATATTAATAAGTTTATTAAAAACTCGGAAAGGTTTAATAAAGGTTATAATACACGTCTTTTAACGTTGTAATAAAATTACGGCCCGTCTCCCTTTTAACGAATTACTTTATAATACTAATAAATAAGGTTTATAGTAATCTTAAAACGAGGGTTATTTTAAAAGTTAAATACGGACCGAAACGTTATTAAAAGTAAAACTTAACGAGACGGGTGGTACGGTAAAGGTATAATAATTACCGGTGTCGGTGAAATAGTCCGTAAAAGTAGTAAGTTCGTTTATTACGGTATTAAAAAGATTAAAAAGGTATTTAAAAAAAGAGACGAAAAAGGTTATAACGATTATTATACGACTCGAAAAGAGATAAAAAGGACCGAAGATATCGAGAAAAAAGATAAAAAAACCCGTTTTAACTATTACGACTATAAAATACGTTAAGAAAAAGGTAAATAAAAAAGGAAAATAAAAAAGAGAGTAGTAAGAGTAAAAAAGGAAGAAAATAACTATTACGGTTATTACAGTGTTATAAAAAGAACGGGATTTTAATAAATTTTAAAGTTAAAAATAAAACGTTACGATAAAAGACCGGTTAAAACTAGTTAAAATATATTTATTATATTAATATTATAAAAAGAAACACTTATTACGGTAAAAAAAGGAATTATAAAGTATTATTAATAATAAAAATAAAAATAATACGTTTCTTTTTAAAATCTTTATAATTAAAATAAATTTACTACGACCGTTTACTAATACGGTTAATAAAAAAAACAATTAAAAAGGTTTTCTTATAACGTATACACTTCCGTATATCGGTTAAAACGGTTTAAAAAAAAGAGTCTTAAATACGTCGGTTCTTTAAAGTAATAGTATAGTCTTTATAAGTCCGATACGGTTTAGTACTTAACCGTTCCTTTACGAAAAAAGTAGTAAAAAAGGTATGTTTATATATAAAATATATTTACGGAGAAGATATAAAGACGTTATTTATTATAAACGGTATAAAATAAACGATAAGTAAAATATAATTAATAAAAATAATTAGTAATAATTAGTAATATTAAAGTATAAATATAAATAAACTTAATTTAAACGTAAAAACACGATAAAAAACACGAAGGTTAAAAATAAACCGGACTTATAAAATTATACTTATAAACCCCCCTTTAACGAATTAAATCGATTTCACGTTAAAAACTAACGAAAAAGTAGAGTAAAAAAACGATTCTAACGAATAAAAAGGCTTAAATAAACGAAAAACTAAGGGCCGTTAACGTAACGGACCAATCAGGCTACAATAATCCGTAAAGTCTTTAAACAACCAATGAACGGAGCGTATTCAGGAAAAAGCGGGCCGAAACGGACCAATAGGAGGCGGCTCTCAAAACTTCTTCATGGTACCTTAAGATAGCGGCGTTACATCGCTGTAGGTTGGTGTTGAGTTGTGTGCCAAGACATGATGTCCAAAGTCGAACAGGAAAGGTGAAGATGAAAAGGGGTAACAATGAGGAGATATCAAATGCCCACAAAGTCGTGAGTACAGAATATATCGTCACTGGATAAAAGAAGAAAGAACGAGTTCTGTTCCACGGCTGCTCTTGCCTTTGACCTCTCAGATGGTCGTCAAAGATTAGTCATCAAGCTTAGGCCTTGACGCTTCCAATTTCTATCTCCACTGCTTTTGAGCTCTCAACCGCTGCCAACTGTCCACTCAACACACAGCGAACTCGTCGAGGATGTGCGGGATCCACGCTCTCATTGCACTTGTGGATGACACTGCAGGCAATGGAGACACAGCACCAACCGACGCGGTAGGCGGCCTCCCAGAGGTCCTCCGCGACCGCCTCGCACGTCGCGGACCCGACCACCTTGGCCAGGCATCCTCTTCATTTACGGGCCGAGAGGATGGGAAGCCTGTGTCTTTGCAGTTCACATCGACCGTGCTGGCGCTTCGCGGCGACGGCCTGACGAAGCAGCCGTTTGAGGACACGGCAACCGACACGGGGCGCGTCCTCTGCTGGAACGGCGAGGTGTGGAAATGGAAGGTGAGCGGCGAACGCGGCAGGACACAAGTCGAAGTCGACGGCAACGACGGACAGCATCTGTTTGAGCGTCTGGCGGCGTGTTCTGACACGGACGCTGTGCTCGCCGTCCTGCGCGCCATCGAGGGCCCGTTTGCATTCGTGTACTACGACCGGCCAGCAGGACAGCTGTTCTACGGACGCGACCGACTGGGGCGGCGGTCGCTGTTGGAGAGGCGGACGGACCGTTCTCTCACGCTGTCGAGTGTGTCCGACATGTCGTCCTCGTCAGCGACAGAGGCGCCTTGGGTGGAGGTCGAGGCGGACGGCATCTATGTGGTGAACCTGCTGCAGGACCGGCCGTTTGCCCACGCGTCGTCAAGTGACGATGCTGTTGACGGCGACGGCGGCGGCGGTACTACACGGTACGACTGGTCGAAGGAGCTTGGAAACGATAGTGTCAGCGGTCTCGGACACTTTAACATGGCGGCCAGCCCGCCACCAGACGATAGCCGCCTGACCCTCGACTCGCCGTCTGTACGAGAGCTGCGTGACCAGCTCACAGCCTCCCTGCGTCTGCGCGTCTGCAATGTCCCGCGGCCGCCATCCACATCCACATTGTCCAATGTCCACCCAGACACCGACAGGGTCGACACCCGCATCGCCGTCCTCTTCTCGGGCGGCCTCGACTGCACCGTCCTCGCCCGGCTGGCCCACGACCTGCTGCCCGCTGACCAGGGCATCGACCTCATCAATGTGGCCTTTGAGAATCCGAGGGTCGTCGCCCATTTGGCGCCCGAAAAGAAGGGCGACATCTACGAAGCCTGCCCCGACCGCGTGACGGGCCGCGCGTCGCTGGCCGAATTGGAGCGAGTCTGTCCGGCGAGGGCCTGGCGGTTCGTGGCTGTCAATGTCCCCTACGCCGAGACCGTGGCACACCGCCCAGAGATTGTCGCGCTGATGCACCCGCACAACACGGAGATGGACCTGTCGATTGCGTCGGCCCTGTACTTTGCATCGAGGGCCGGCGTCGACGACAACGACGACGACAGCGACGACAACGGAACATCGGCGCGCGTGCTCGTGTCTGGCCTCGGCGCCGACGAACTGTTTGGGGGGTATGGACGGCATGCTGTTGCTTTCGGCGGGCGGGACGGCAATGGCAGCCGCGGCTACGCTGCTTTGGCCAGGGAACTCTTGCTCGACATGGCCCGTCTCGGCCGGCGCAACCTCGGCCGCGACGACCGCGTGCTGGCGCACTGGGGCCGCGAGGTGCGGTTCCCCTTTTTGGACGAAGGGCTGGTGCCGTGGGCCCTGGCGCTGCCGGTGTGGGCCAAGTGCGATTTTGCCAACCCGGCAGGAGGTGGCGACGGCGATATCGAAAACGACGTTGAGCCCGCGAAGCGGGTGCTGCGTCTCGTGGCCCTGTCGCTGGGGATGCCCCATGTGGCGCGAGAGAAGAAGCGGGCCGTATGTCTACGTTCCCCTACCGGTGCCAACCAAGAGACTGTGCTAACGTTGTCAGATCCAATTCGGCGCGCGGACGGCCAAGATGGAGAGCGGGCGCGTCAAAGGGACGGCCTTGGTGGTGTAGGCGGGCGGACGAGATCGTAAAGAGGACGATAGAAGCTCCTCCCAGTGCCCTCAGTGAACGGCAGTGATGATAACCAGATACTTCCGAGGCATGAGAGCGGAGACAGGCAGCCGTCGTCTTTGGACGTGGGCGTGGTGCTGTGCCGTCGTGTCTGTGGACGGACTTGTGGTGTCTTTTGTCGTGGACGAACGTCTTGACAGAAGAAACCCTTGCTCTTGTCCACGACACACTGCATCAGCAACCGCCTCGGCCACAACGGCCCGGCTCTGTCCAATGCATGGCCTGACCATGTCCGCCGCCGATGACGTCGTAAAAGGCAAGTCTGAGCCACTCTTTTAGCTCTTTTTAACACACGTTTGCATCAGCATGTAGACTGGGATCTTTGCATCTTTGATACCCAATGGCGACAATAGACTTCAAATAGACTCTTGACTTTGTAACTCCATTCTTCTTTCAGCTGAATTCGCCGTAGTTGTATTATTGTATTACATACTTGTCATTTCTCAGACGACATCGCATCTGTGGTAGTATAGTAGTACTGGTGAAGCATACTCCTGTTTGTACGTCCTTCTGTCTCATGGGTATAAATGTGTTCAGTGTGTCCCGCCGCCCGTCCACACCTCCTCCTCCCGACATCCTCCCGACATCCTCCTATAGCACCAGCACCGGCTGCCCGTTCTCCATTATTTTGCGTCCCCCGCTAAACACCATCGAGCTGAAACTCGCGTGGTCGTTGCTGTCGACCAGCGCGTCGCCGCCCGTGTTGTCCTGGCCGGTGTTGTCGCCGTTCTTGGACGCCGTCGACGGCAGCCAGTCGGGTCCCAGACGTGCGTACAGGCCTTGTCCCGGTTTCGGCCACCCGGCCATCAGGCCCGTCGGGTCTTCTTCGTCGGGGTCGACGGGTGTGGGCACAAAGGCAGGGATGTGGGCGGGGTCGACCAGGCGGGGGCGTGTAGGACGTGCCGTCTGGGCGGCCTGGGGCGTCTGCGCCGTCGACACCGCCGTCGACACCGCAGTCGACGGCTCCTGCGGCAGCAGCAGCAGCCGCTCGTCCTCGAGTGGCCGCACCTTGGGCGGGCGCCCCCGCTTGCGCTTCACCGGCAGCCCGGCGGCGATGCGCGCGGCGCGCTCGGCGGCTTCGGCGGCGGCAACAAAGTCCCTGTGCTTGTGGCGCAGCGACTTGATGACGCTCTGGCGGAAGGTCGGACTCGTGCTGGTCGCCTTGTAGACGGCGCTCATCGCGACGCGGCCGCTGGCAGGCAAGAGCGGCAAGGGCGGCAAGAAGCCGCGCGGCGGTCGACCGGGGCCACGTCGGAGGCTGCTTCCTTGTGCCCCTCGGCCCGCGTGGCCAGACGCGCGGCCCGCCATCGCTGCCATCGCTGCCGTCGCTGCCGTCGCTGCCGTCGGTTGTGCATCCACCTTGGGCGTCGGCGGCATCGGCGGCAGCGGCGGGTAGACCGCCAGGTCCGGATGCTGGGCCATGGCGTACAACAGCCACGCCTGCAGGTCGGGCCGCGCGAGGCGGGCCAGGTACGCGCGGCGCTGCTGCGGTGTGCGGCGGCTCAGGTCGTGGTGCGTGGGTGGCGGCGGCCGAGCCGGGACACGGAGCGCGTCGGGCGGCCGTTCTGCACAGGCACGGCGGGCGAGGCGTTCCGTGTGCCGGGTGGCGGCGGCCGCCGTACAGGCGGGGCAGGACCAGCCAGAGGAAGGGACGGCACCAGCAGCGGTTGCGCCAGTCGTGTCTAGCGTGCGCGTTTCCACGCCATTGCCGTTGCCGTCGACGCCGTCTCCGTTTTCGATTTCCAGCACCCCGTTCGCGGTCACGGCCCCCGCGCTGGCCCACGCTGCTGCTGCCGCGGCCACGTGGTCGGCAATCACAGGATCGTGACACAGACGGTGCCAGCACCGACGGCATCCGCAGCACGACACGAGCGGGTTGAGCGTCGAGCGCGCCGGCCGCTCACACACCGTGCACACTGGTTTCCGAGCCGCCGCCGCACACACACCCGACAAGACGGAGCCGGCATACGAGCTGGCACGGGACGGCGGCGACGATGGCGTGGGCGAGGCCAGCATCATCACGGCGGTGTTGTCGAAGTTCGCGATGTTGTCGCTGTCGTGGCCGCCCCGGCGCCGGCCGCGTTTCTTGCGCACCGGCATGGGCATCGTGCGCGGCTCGGCCTCGCTGGGCGGCGTTGCGGAACCACCGACGACAATCGACGTGGGATCGTGCTCGGCGATGCTGTTGCCGTCGACCTCATCACGGCGGCTTGTGCGGAAGCGCTCGAGAATGGCCTGCGCGGCCGCGGACGAGAACTGGGGCGTGTAGCTGCGGCGGCCGCGGCTGGCGGGCGTCGGTGGTGTCAAGAGAGATGACAAGGCGAGCGGCTGTGCAGGGGGCATCGACAGGAGTCGGCGATGGTCGTCCAAGTGCATCATGTCGCGCGAGTCCTTGAGCAAATGAGGTCCATGTGGACTGGGTTGATCTGGGGGGCTTTCTCTTTCTCGGCTCTCTCCCTCTTGCGCGTCTACATCCATCATGATGGCATGTGGGTGGGCTGTGTGGGCCTGTGCGGTGGTAAGAAAACAAAGGTAAAACGAATGTGATGTGCGATCAACAAGAAAAGGTAAATAAAGCTGGCGAGCTTTGATGGGACGAGGCAAGGACGTCGTAGCGTCAATTCCACTGGAAATGGGAGTCGTTACGACGCGATTACAGGACCCACTTTTTTACCGCAAGCGACGCTGAGACGCATCTGTCAGCCTCGTGAAAGTGACCTCACATTTGGCCCATTTGGCCCCACGTAGTGTCTCATTGTTCTGCTGTTTATACGTAAGATATAGTTGGTTTTTGTTTTGTTTTGTTTTTTTGTTTTTTACATTTCATTTTATTTCGTTTTATTTCACTCTATTTTACTTTATTTTACTTTATTTTTCACGTATTTTTGTTTCTTCCTGTCAAGTTATTCTGTACGCATAACCACAACTGACACCAATCTCTCTTATCCGTTATTACCGTATTTTGTGCATTTACAACGAATTTACATTCTTCATCTACCTTCTAAGGCCTATCGTACATACATTCCGCGCCTCATGCCTCTCGCCTCGTCCATTATTGCTCTCCCTTCTTGACCCCCCGCACGACGCCGCTTGCCGCCAGGGCCGCAATCTGGTCGGCGCCGTAGCCCAGGTGCTCGCGCAGAATCTCCTCGGTGTGCTGGCCGAGAATGGGCGGCGCGAGGCGCACGACGGGCGGCGTCTCGGACAGTTTCATGGGCGAGTTGACGAGCTGCATGGGGCCGCAGTAGGGGTGGTCGACGTCGAGGACCATGTGGCGGGCGCGCGTGTGGTCGAGCTGCAGCGTGGTCTGGACGTCGTTGACGGCGGCGTAGGGCATGCCGGTGCCCTCGTAGACGGCCAGCCAGTGGGCGGTGGTCTGGGTCTCCGTGACGGCCTCAATGGCGCGTTCGAGGATGTCGCGGTGGGCGACGCGGTCGGCGTTGGTGAGGAAGCGGGTGTCGGTGGCCAGCTCGGGGTGGCCGATGCCCTGGCACAGAATCTGGAAGAGGCGGTCGTTGCCGCCGCCGAGGAGAATGTCGCCGTCGGCCGTGCGGAAGGACTTGTACGGAACGATGGAGGCTGGCGAGTTAGTCATACTTATTTTACAAACACAGTCTTGGAACAGTCTTGACTCACGATGCGCTGTCCCCCAGCGGCCGCTGTCGGGCTGCTTGCTAATCAGACAGCTGCTGGCAATGTTGGCCAGCGTCGCCGTCTGGCAGTCGCTGAGCGACGCGTCAATGTGCTGTCCGCGTCCGGTGCGCGCGCGCGCCAGCAGCGCCGCCATGATGCTGCTGCTCGTGTAGAGGCCCGTGGTCAGGTCGGTGACGGCCACGCCCACCTTGACGGGCGTCTGGTCGCGCTCGCCGGTGATGTGCATGAGGCCAAACTCGGCCTCGACCATGACGTCGTAGCCCGCGCGGCTGGACGAGGGCCCGGTCTGGCCGTAGCCCGTGATGGACGCATAGATGAGCCTGGGGTTGAGCCGCTGGAGCGTCTGGTAGTCCAGGCTGTACTTGGCGAGGGTGCCCGGCAGGTAGTTTTCGACGAGGATGTCGCACTGTGCCGCGAGCTTGTGCAGGATTGCGACGCCGTCGGGATGCTGGAAGGAGAGGGCCAGGGACTTTTTGTTGCGGTTGGCCTGCAAAAAATGTCAGTAACTTTTAGAGGCGAAGAGAAAGCGAGCGCAGCGAGGCCTGGCATACCCCCAAAAAGTAGGCCGACTCGCCCGGCCCTGTCAGTCCCGACTCGGGCGTGTAGGCGGCATACGGCGGTCCCCAGGCACGCGTGTCGTCGCCGCGCACGGGGTGCTCAATCTTGATGACCTCGGCGCCGAGATCGCCCAGCATCTGCGTGCAGTAGGGGCCGGCCAGCACGCGCGTCATGTCGAGCACGCGGTAGCCGGCAAGGGGGAGGTTGCTGTTGTCGGCGGACGACGATGCCGATGTCGGAGTCGCATGGGCGCGGCGGACTGTGCACGAGAGCGGCCGACTCGCGATGGTGACGACACAGCTGGGCCGACAAAGTGACGGGTGTGCCGGCGTCCGACGCAGAGCTGTCTGGGCCGTGGACAGTTGGTGCCATAGCCGACTACCGATCCGGAGAGACATTGTGAGGAGAGGTCGGAGGAGAGTGTTGATCGAAGAGACAGAGTGGGAGGAAGCGAAAGCAGTGACGACGACAGAAGACATAAAAGAAAGATACAAGCCACTTGTCGGCTCACAAAGAACGAAGGTCCAACAGAAAACGCACAGTAAGGCAATCCTGTCTCAACACCGCTCGTCTCTTCTCCTCTCCCTTATGTACGCCCGATCGCCATCAAGCTATCGTGGCAAAAGAGACATCGACCTCGAAGCTCAAGTCCCCGCAGCTGGCCATTCTGCCCGCTAGATTCGGCTTAGTTCTGGGCGCAACACAGCGCTGCCCTGGCGCTAACGGCATGCAACTGCCCCTGGAGCCGCCGATTCGGGTAACTGGAAAGGCCAATCGTAGTGGGCTGTCGTCGTACGACGGGCTTGAATCAGTGGGCTGCACTCTCTTGCTCTTTTGAGACAGCGCGTCCGGCCACCAAAGAGCGTCTCGCTGCGGTTCTGCGGACAAGGATAGCATTGGAGAGCCGAGGAATAAAAGTAACGAAGACTGGCGGCAGAGGACGCCGTTAGCCAATTGTCGAATTGGTTTCCGTAGAACATTGTGTCTTTGGCGTCAGGTCCAAGATGTAACTCCTGAGTTCCGAGTTGACTGTATCCTCTCTCACATTGATGCGAAGGAAAAGAAAGTTATTTAGTTAATAAATAAAAAGAAACAATACCGTTGTAGAAGGAAAAAAGAAAGAAAGAAAAAAAGAAAAAAGAAAAAAAAAAAATCAAAAGAAAAACACAATTAGCAACTCCTCGTTTCGATCAAGGGACCTCCGGGTTATGAGCCCGGCGCGCTTCCGCTGCGCCAAGTTGCTTAGCTGTTTTGCTTGTGCAAAATCTACGACTTATTTTCGTATGTGTAGATAGCGCGAATTTAAAATGGGTCCCTTCAGTCTAGCTTTCCTACCTTTGTTTTCCTTCCTGTGAGTCAACAACTATTTTCATACCATGCGTCACGTCTGTTCAAGAGGGCAAAAAACTTCACATCGCAAAATGATATTTGTAAATTCAAATCCTCACACGTGTAGCTCCTATTCATCCTTCGTAAATCTTGTGTGTATGTATTGCTTCCTCAGTCTCGTCTGCTTTGTTCGCACTTTCCTTCGTGACACAGCAGGCTGTACATCACGTCGTACCTTCCTATTGTTACTCAACTGCAAACGCCACCATCCCTATTGCCCCTCTGCCCCTATTCCCTCTTCGCCCTACTTACTCTCCTTCTTCCATTTCTCTAGAAGCTCCTCCATCTCGATGTTTTGTTGAGCCTTCGCCCGTCCGATGGCCTCGTCCAGCACACCGGCCCGCCGCTCTGCAACGCCTCGTTCGAGCATGAAGACAACCGACGACGTGTTGCCCGCGTGTACGGCTGCCAGCAACGGCGGGTCGTCTGCACAGCTGCCGTCGGGCAGCTGTGTGCTGCGGCTCAATGCCATGGGGTGCTCGTCGTCGGGGCCGCTCTTGTACCACGTCCCTGGCGACGTGTGGATGTCCATGCCGCCGATGTCGACCAGCACGCGCAGCACGCCGTAGCCGGGGTTGTCTCGGGTTTCCTTGCCGACGGTCGCAGGCTCGATTGTGTGGCTGACGCTCGTGATTGACTCCCCCGCGCGCGACGCCGGAGGCCGTGCCGCGGCCATGGTCACCAGCGACTGCATCCCAGGCCACTTGGGCCGCGGCGGGATCCCGTCATACACCTTCCGCGAGACCACGCCGAGAAAATGCGCCACCATGGCCGGCGTGCCGTCCTTGACCAGCGCGTCCAAGATCCAGCCCGTCAGCGGCTGCGGGTCGAGGCCGCGGGCCAGCCAGTCGTCGAGAGCAGCAAGAGCACCGCCCGGGTCGGTATAGCTCTGGACGGCGGCGGCGGCAATCGCGTGGCGGGCTTCTTCACTGTCGGGAGAACTCAACCCAACAGGCAATGCGTGTACGGCGTGATCGGTCCGCAGGGATGGCGCCCATCCTGCGTTGGCCAAAAGTGCCCATGCCGCCGGGCCATAGTGCGGGTCATCCAACACGCCATCGCCACGGGGTGCACCACGGAACGCGCCGGGGCCGACAGTCGCAAACAACGTCATCTCTGGTCGACAGCGGCCGTGCTTTTCTAAGAGGTCCTGCAGCATGTCCTTGTGGCGGTGCTTGAGTGCAACGGCGACAAGAATCTGGAGGAGAAGCGGCGTCGCCAGGGCGGACACGCCCGCCTCTTCGGGCTCGGCCATGTACTCGTCGGCAAACCGGACGGTGTCGTAGTCGGCCGTGATGCATCTTGTGAGTGTCGGGAGGAATTTGGTTGCTGTCCACATTGTTAACAACGATCTTAGGACGTACATAAACACTAGCAGAGCGCGGTCGGCTTACCCTCCGGCAAGACATAACCACCGGCGCTGGCGACGTGGATGGCCGCAGCTACGACATCCTCGTGGACGCGGTCAGCCAGGCCAGAGTCAGCCGACTTGTCAACCGCTCCCGTCAACAGCCGTCGAAAGTACGTCTCGATGGTCGTGTCGCCGACGGGGTAGAGGTTGGGGATGTACCGGGGCCGGGCTGGTTGTTTCACCGACTGTGGAGATGCGGACGACCCGCTCGACGCCGTGGAGTCCGTTGTGGTGCCTCTGCCGGACCCGCCCGAAAAGAGGTGTGCCTTGAGTTTACTCAGCATGCTGGGTCGATACGAGACAGGTTCGTTTGCACTGTTTTTTTCGTTTCGCATTTGCCGAGTCGTGTGTCGCTGCTGATTTCAAAGAGCTTTGGGTGTGGTCTAGCGGCCATTTTGAGGCTTGCCGCTAGCAGGGCTGCAGCCTCATTATTGTCGGCAAATAGGAGGCTGCAGCCCCTAGCCAGGCCGACGCAGCTGAGGCAGAGTGAAGCATGTGGCAGAGGAGCCATCGTGAACTCTTGCGCTTTGTGTCGTTGCGTTTGCGATTGTTGTGAGTATATCTCTGCCTACTCATTATGTATCTACAGTCGAAGTTCAATACGCCGATCGGCAACTTCGTGTTAACAAAAGAAGCGAACCATTGTCAACATCATGTCGTTCACTCCCTCCTAACCCCAAGCCAACAAATTCGTCCCCTCTTTGCCCCCTGCCGTGTTTAAGCAGTATAGCAAGGCTACTCTGTCATTGATTTGTTACCAGGATTTTCTTTTGCTCGTGTCATTTTGTTATGTGTTTCTTATCGCATTGTAGCGTTTTCTTGTCTTCCCTTCCTAAAGATGTCACATTTTCATCTACCAATTACCGTTCAGCATAAACGGCCGTCTTGGTTGGGCATACAAAATATGATATCCCAGCTGGGATTCTTCGTTCAGCCGCGAGAAGGGCATCGGGCAGCAATGTTCCAGAAACAACCACAACGCGCAGTCCGATCACGACGATCTTGAAGCCTCACAACAAGACGGACAGCGCTTACAAACTCAGGTGCTACAACTCAAAGACTATGGCAAGCTCTAGCGACAGAATGCAAAGTTGGTGGCGGAACATGAAAGGCAGCAGACGGGAACGGCCTGAACGGGCAAATGCCTCACCTGCAGCCTCCTCCGCCAAGGGCAACAACTACATCCAGCATAAGCATTCCAAAGACGGCTTGGCCTCTCGTGTCGAGCACCAAGAGTCCCCCGCGAAGCAGTCGCTTTGGGACCGCGCATACGACGCCCTCAGAAAGACGAAGACACAGTTGGTGGAGGACTACGAGAAACTGCTCGCAGAGGAGGAGCAGACGGCTAGTACGTATCACCGACTGACACCTTGCAGTCGTATGCCGCAGACACTGACCAAACGATATTACAGATTTTACTTTAAATAACGGGGCTCCCGCACAACCTAAGCCTCTACATGATGTGACTTTCGGCCCCGACAGTCAGTCTCGCCAAGCACAACTAAACACGGTGATCGAGCAGGGTTTACGACGAGTTGAGGAGAGGAAAGCCAAATACACGATAGCTGGCCATGAGTTTGTCCTGAGGGATCAGGTTGCGCAGGCCGCGAAGTGGCTGCTGTGGGCGAAAGACTGGGTCGGCAATGCCGTCCAGGCTTCACCGCAAGCTTCCATCGCGTGGGCCGGCGTTTGCCTTATCCTCCCGCTTCTCACAAACCCCACGACTGCGGCTGAAGCTAGACGCGACGGATTTACTGATGTCACCGCCCGTATGCGGTACTACGTCGCGTTGGAGCCTCTGTTACGGCGGCTTGGCCAGAATTCTTTGGTCGCCGAGACGGTGATGTCGGAAACCAACGGCCATCTCATCGACCTTTATCAACTTATTCTCGAGTTCCAGCTCTGCAGCGTCTTGCGGTTTTATCAAAGCCACGCCAAGTCCTATGTTCATGACATGTTTTCATCGAAAGACTGGAAGCAGATGACACTCGACATCAAGGCGCGAGAGGAGGCCGTCAACAATGATCTGAGCCAGATCAACGAGTTGGAAACGAGGCAAGAGCTTGAACTTTTGAACAAGACGAGTGCAGATGCACTCAAAGCCATGGAGGGTTTCCTATCGGTCTCGATGCAGCAGTTGGCCGTTTTACAAGAACAACTAGCAATACAACAAGACACCGCGCGTCAACAACTGTCCAACGAGCAGATGACGTGTTTGCAGCTGTTTTGTCTCACCAAAAACGATAACGGCGCCACGTACGACTGGTACAAGGACCGCGTTGAAAACCGTGTAAAAGGCACGTGTCAGTGGTTCCTCCAACACGCCCACTTCCAGAGGTGGCTGACGCAGGAGTCAGGTCCACTCCTGGTCTCAACGGACCCTGGGTGTCAGCAGATACCTCAGACACTGGTTCCTGCCTTAGGCTACTAGTTCCCGTTATCACGTGACAAGGGGTAGATAGATAAACATCGCCACGTCCGTGGTGATGTTATTAGATAGGAGAATCAAGTTTATTTTATATTATTACGTGATAATTTAGTAGTAACTCCGTTCTCGATTAAAGTTTTATAAGAACGTGTTAGATTTCGATTATTAACCGATTTTTATTAAGATAGGATTTATTTATAACGTTTATAACCGAACGTAATTATAATTTACTTTAAAATTAACTTATAAATTTTTTTTAATAAATATATAAAACTTTTATTATTTTTAACGAAAAAGTAAAATTTTTCGTTAATTTACCGTTTTATTTAAACGAATATAATTACTTTTATATATAATTAACGAATAATAAGTCGTTAATATTTATACTCGTTCGTTAACGTATAAAACGGTCTTAATTATTTTTATTAAACTTATATATACTTATACGTATTATACGTACGTTTTAGTTTTATTTTACTCGTACCTTTATTTTAACCTTTTACCGACTTTTTATTTACTTTTTTACTTTTCGTATCCGTACTTTATTTAATTAACCCTCGAAACTCTTCGTTAATACTTTAATACGTTTAATACGTATAACCGACTACTTTTAAGATATTATTAAACGTTCTTCGAAAACCCTTATAACCGTCCCGTCCTTTACTCGAAGATTATAATAATCCTTTTAAAAACGTATAACTATTAAAACTGAATGGGATGCCTGCCCTAGGAACACAAAACCTAACCAATGAAATGGCGAAGTAGGTCTATGCTTGGGACTAGAACATCTCACGTGTTTCTGCAGGATGAATTCACTTGCGGAAGGATGGATTCGATGAATGGCGACAGGAGTCCTGAACGAAACTCCTGTCAACCTACCTCTCCTTTTCTTCTTTTGAAGTTGTTTGAATTTCTTCTATCTCCCTTTTTCTTCCCCTATTCCCTTTTGTCATTTCTTACCACGTACGGACTTTCGAATAAAAGCTCACCTAGTCACATGACAAAAGGGGGCGGCTTATTTAATCGCGTGCTTAACTAATCCTGGGTATTCCGCCCCGACTCACTATTTACGTTAATAAACGTTTCGATATAACCTTTACTTTTATTTTATTATTAGTTTTTCTTTTAAACGTTTTTAAATATTAAAGATAAACTTTAACTACCGACGAATATAATAGTAATATAAATAAATAATATTAATAATTATAACTACTTATAATAAATAACTTATAATATTAAAACGATAATATATTAAAGTTAATCCGTAATATATCCGTAACGGAGTATATCCGTATTTAACGTTTCGTTTTATAAAACTAATCTTTTTTTTTAACTCTTTTTTTTTATAACCTTATAAATAATTATAATAATCGTTATTATTTTAATTAATTTAAAAACCTTACTTTTAATTTAATCGGTTACTTTAAACCGGATAAAAAGGATTTTAATTAAACCGGATTCGTTTATAACGGTAAACTTTTTATTTATATAAACGTTTACTACTTTATTAATCGTTTAAAATATATAATACGTCGTTTTTCTTTTAAAGTAGTTTAATTAATATAAATTTATTATTTATTATAATCGATTCGTAACTAAAGACTACGAATTAAGTGACTAGACTTATATAATAAAACGTGGTATAACTAGTCTTTAATTATACGTTAACGTTACGTTAGTAAAAAGTCTCTCTCCTTAAATAAAAGGACTCCCTTTTTCTTAAAGGGAAGAAGGGGTAAGAATTAGTCTTTATTATAATATACACTTACCTTCGTTCTTAAAACTAATACTTTTTATTAATTAATTTATTATAAAGACTTATTTTATAATTACTTATAATAATTTTAATTCTTTTTTTTACGGATATTTTTTTATAATAATTAAAAAAAAAGAAACGATAAACCTACTTTTCGTCGGGTCGAGTCGAGTTATACGTTCGTATTCGTAAGGTTTTACGAGTCTCTCGTAAATAAACGTCGACTTTATCTTTAAAAACTTTAACTTATAATTAACGGTCGAAAACCCGACCGAATCTTCGAGTATTAAAGTAGTAATAATAGTACCGACTAGTAGTAAAAAAGGAGAAGAAGGTAGTAAGATTAATACTATTACGGAAAAATAAGTAAAAAAAAAACGACGAAGAAAAAACGTTTAAAAAAAAGTTAACGACGTTTAAAAAAAAACGAGTTTTTTAAAGAAAAAATCGTAGTTTTAAAAAACGTAAAACGTTAACGAGTCTTTTATCGAAACGAAAAGATTAAAAATAAATCTACCGTTTTCTTTTTTTTAACTTTATTATTTAAAGAAAATTCTTTTAAACCGAATAATAACTCGAAAGTCGACGGAGAAACGTAAAAGGGTCGTAAATCGAAAGATTTAAAAATACGATTATCGTTTAAGGTTTATAAGAATTATTTTACTTTTAAAGACCGGAAATTTTAAATTTTAAAATTAAAAATAATATTTAAAATTAAATTATACGAATTTTTAAATTCTCGTAATCGAGTCGTTATTACTTATAATTATATAAATAAGTCGTTTAAAAGGTAATAAAATTAATATATACGTAACGTTAAAGATTTCGAGAAACGTCGACGACTCAAACGTTTTTAAAATAAATTTAAAGAGTAAATAACGATACTCGTTTTTATTACGAACGACCCGTCGATATAAACTTATAAGTTATATAAAAAGGTACGTTCTCGACTTAACTAATTACTATCCGAGTTTTTAAACTACTTACGTTCTTTAAAGAAATAAATAACACCTTTTTTTAATAAATTTAAAAAAAAGGTTTTTTATTTTAAGTTAAATAATTAACTTAAATATACGTTAAACGAAATTATCGATTATAAAAAAATTAACCTTTAAGACTTATACGTAAAAGTCGAATTATTATTTATATAACGGGTAAGAAATCGTTTTATTAATAACGTCCGTAATTCGTAAAAAAGTCGTAAACGACTCGACGATAAACCGTACGAAGATATATTTTAAAAAAGGAAACGTTAACGTCGTTCGGACGACTATAAAAATCGTAAAAACGATAAAAGGAGGAATATAACGGACTTTTAACCTTTTTATTTATAAAATAAAAAAAAGTCGTAAAAAAAACCCTCGGTTACTTACTTTAAGTGTAATAAAGTAGAATATTATATAAATAACTACTTAAAAAACGTACTTATTTAAAATATTATTATTAAAAAACCCGTTAAGTTAAAAAACCTTTAATTACTTTTTTCGAGTCCGAAAAGGAGACGATAAAAATAAAATATAAACTATTAAAGAATACGTTAGTAATATATTATAAAAGAGTTAAAAAAAAAACGACTATTACTTTAAACACTACTACGGGGTTAAATATCGTAAATATTTAATTCGTAAAACGACTTTAATTACGAAAAACGAGATATCCCGATTCGGTAACGTATTTAATAAACGTCTTTAAAACTTAAACATTTAAAATTTAAAATATCCTTATTACTCTTACGGATTTCCGTAAAAGGATTAAAAAGGTAATCTACTTTTATATCGTACTCGATAAGTTAAAGAGTCCGGATATTAATTTTATTTTATTAAGTATTATAAACTTAAAAACGTTAAATATTAATATTTTAATAAAAACACTATAACGTTTCGTATATAAAACCTTAAAGATTTATATTAAAACCCTAAAAAAGTTTATAAAAATTATACGAAACGAAACGGTAGTATATACGGTTATAACACTCTCGGTAGTCTCGAGTAAACGCCTTTACGAGAATTATCCTTTTAATATAAAAAAGTAAAAGACTTACGGAGAAGTCGTACTACCCGTCGAGTTAAAAGACTTTACGGATATCTTTAATATATTTAAAACGATAATTATTCTACCGTTTAAGTAAATTAATTATATTATAAATCTTTTACCGAATACGTAACTCTTATATAAAACGATTTACCCGTTATTTAAACGGGAATTATAAAAGTTACGACTTTATATTAAGGAGAACTTATAAAACGAACGTATTCGTCCTTTTAAATCGTTAACCGACGTACTTATATTATTTATATTAAAAAAAGATAATACGTTATAACTTTACGTCGATTATCGTAAGTTAAATAAAGTTACCGTAAAGAACCGGTATACTTTTTTATTAATTTCCGAGATTTTAAATCGAATAAATAAAGTCTAGTTCTTTTTTAAACTTAATATTAAGGATATTTATTATCGAATCCGGATTAAAAAGGGTAATAAGTAAAAGACTACGTTTCGTATACGATATAACTACTTTAAGTATATAATTCTTCCTTTCGACTTAATTAACGTTCTTACTACTTTTTAACACTATATTTATATAACCTTATAAAAGTTAATTAATATTATATATATAATATATATAAATAACGTTTTAATATTCTTTTAATCCCGAGAGTAGTACGTACGATATTTATACGAAGTGTTAAAAAGACTTTAACGAGTCTAGTTATATACTAATTTATATAAGTATAAATTTTTCGTAAATAAAGTGGAATTTTTAAAATTTATCCTTATACGTTATAAAGTTAAAATAAACCCGGAGTAAATAGTTATTATTATAAAGTAGTTAAAACCGAAGTTTTACCGTAATAAGATTTTATAACTTTTATAAACGATTTATTTTTACGTATTCGTAAATTATAACCTTACTTAATAACCTTTTAAAGGGTATATAAAATAAAAAGAAACCGGGAATAGTTACGTTTTCGACTCGTAAGTAAAAAACTTTCGACGAGTTTAAAGTATATTTTAAAAAAACGCCGTTATTAAAATACTTTAATTTTAAGTTATAAACCCGACTTAAAACGGACGTGTTAAAAAAGGGTGGTTTTAAAGTACTATTTTAATTAAACGAATAAGATAAATACTACTTAATCGTTTTTTAGTTAAAGAAATAAAAAGGGTTAAAGTTAAACTATAACACTTTTAATTAAGAAATAATAATAATTATAAAGAGTTTTAAATACTAACGATAATACTTAAA